CTTGTACAAGGATCAATCAGCAAGACAGAAACAGAGATAACCGAGAACCAGAAAGGCAGAGATGCCTAAATGGGGATAGGCGCAGGATCTCGGATAGAGGGTGGGAATAGGTCTGGAGATAGTAACAGTTAATATCTGGAGGTCCAGAGATCTGGGGATCCAGAAGGCAGGGTGGAAACAGGACTGAGATATGTGAGGTGGTGGATGTAGTCTGGAATCTAAGAGGAGGTAAAGTCCAGATGTCTTGCTGGATGGAATGTGCGTAGGGTGGGACAGGATAGGGGATCCAGGAATGAGTCAAATATGGGGTCCAGAAATAGGTCCAGAAAGCATGGGAATATGATGGGATCTATGTCTGGCATATGGGATATGACACTTGGACAAACTTGGGGGTTGTATTTATTGTGCCAGTGATTGTGGCAACCATGGTTTGTTCAATGTTGTGATGTTCCTGACAAGTCATTTGGCTAATGTGTGAGACACCAGAACCAAAATGACAGGTGCCAACACATCTATGGTGTGCCTTGTAGCATGTATCAAGCTCCTCTTCCCCAACAACTTCCTTGCACCATTTTAGTGGATGGTTACCAAAGAACTTGTGGCCAGTGTGAAGCATGTCACCAACCAGAAAATATCTTGGGTTTGCATAGGCCCAATCCCCCCAGAATTGTTGATAGATGCTGCTGAGCATCAAAGCCTTGGCTTTGTGTTGGAATAGTGGCACACTCCAAGGATTAACACATTTACACAAGTTGTAAATGAGCCAGAGGGTGTGAGTGCCTGTTCAAGGGGGATGGAGGTGGGAGGTTCTGAAGTCTTGTTGCATGGCCATTGTAAGTGGTGATGCATTCTTTGCAACACATGCAATAAGCTGTGCCTCAGGGAGATTGGCCATACATGTGATGAGGGGAGTAAAACAGTGTTGGATATAGCCCATTGTTAAGGTCATACTCAAGGGCTAACTGGATCTGAAGGGCTTCAGCCTCAGCTCATGTGCTGTGCCCCTTACTCAAGTATTGCCCCTTATTTCAGGAAGGTAAGGCTAACATGTCTGGAGGGCCAGACAGGTAGCATAGTGGATCCAGATGACTTCTGGATGCAGGATAAGTATTGTAAGGCTAATCCAGATGAGTCCAGACTAGAAACTAGTGATAATGGCTGTCATAGACAGAGGCAGATGCAGATAGACTATAGGAATCAATCCTAAGTCTCAGAGGGTGACGAGAGTAGTGGTACTCAAGTCCAGAGGACAGGAATGAGCAGAACTAAGTTGATATTTGAACTGAAGTGTTACAGAGATTTACAGGAGGTTATATACTATGGGTATCTAATGGAATGATCAATCAGCAGGGTCCGAGGCTATGTATGAAGCATATGATAGTCTATTGGTAAGTAGAAACGGATCACAAATCATGAAACAGAAATGAAACATAGGTAGCAGATCAGGGAGCAGGACAGATATACAGATAACTGAAATACCGGAGTTAGGGGGTTACTGAAAGGAGATGAGTGCTGGTTGTGGATTTAGATGAGTCGTGGACTGGACCAGACAAGGGGATTACTGAAAAGAGATGAGTGCTGGTTGTGGATTCAGATGAATTGCAGTTGATTTCCCACGCCTTCAGATTACCTTACAGATGTCCTGTGTCAGTCCATTGTCTATCCTACTCATCAGTACATATTTTGCCTTGCCTCGTGTGTTGTAACAAGTGTTGCAGTCTTATTACATGTCTTTACATATTCTTACTGCCTGTCTGTCCTGTCCCTTCTGTTTCCAAGAGGGTTTAGCTAGTATAAAGTGCCTAGGGTGACTACTTTGTATTTACTTCCCTTCTACAGTATTTCCTTCCCTTAGGTTTTACTTAGGAGCAGTCACCATTAGTGCACGCTTTTTAGCCCCTATTGGTTACCTTATACCTGGACACCTTACCTCAACTTTCCTTACCCATGCAATCAATACCCTTGCCCTCACTTGCTACCTGTGCCATTCCTTAAGACTTCCCTACCCCCTACCCTAGCATCTCGCACTTCCACATCAACCACTCATTGACCACTCATTGACCGCTCATTGACCGCACTTCCGCATTCCCGCGCTCTACATACCCATGCTCCTGTTCCCACGCTCTGCGCACTTTCAGGTCTTTAGTATTATCGGCCATTCTCAGTAGCAATTCCCTTGAGGGTTGAATGTTCTTGCTTGCAAGTGTAGCAGCTAGGCAGAGCATCAACCTACAACAATATTTTTGGTTAGGCACTTTAACAAGTGACTAGCCATTGTTGAGTTTGCACACTGGTCTTCATGGTGACTTTGCATCTTGCAAATATGATGTCCATGCACTTGTGAAATAGATGAGTGTGAAGTAGTGTCTGGAAATCTGGATAAATGTCAAATTTTGGAATTGGAATAAATCCGACACAACACCATGCATGAGCAGTAGCCTTCATTCAAACTTTGGATTGAATATTGCCAATTGTGAGGAATATAGGATGCATCTCTAATCCTCCTGACTGCTGAGTTACAGGGGTCTTGTCAGATGCAAGCATAATGGGCACCATGGTCGCACCCTCTGGAAGCTGGTTCTGATATGGATCACTGAGTAATCCTTGTCATGACCAACAAAGAGCTGTACCTGGATAAAGAAAGCCCTCTCACCCAAGAAGAACTCACCATATTCACACTTAGCACCAACCATAACAATGTGAGGATCATATATCATGTGGTTCACAAAAATTAGGTCTGTGAAGAGATCCTGGGCAATTTCAAGATCATCTCACCAGATTAATTATATTGGCTGTCCAGTAGTGTGGTTGAGAAACTCAAGCATTGTTGATTGCCACTCCAGGCCACCTGGCAATGAGTCAATCCAGCCAAATAGCTGGTCTACACTCTTGAAAGATGGACGGGGTCATGTTTTAAACTTGTAAATGGTCAGTGTATGTTAAGAACCATGTTGCTCAAGGGAGAGAGAGACTGACTCAGAGGGGCTTGGCCTCAGCTCATATGCTATGCCCCTTATCCAAGTGTGTGTCCTTCATTTCAGATGAAGTCCGATGATGGTCTGATGAAGTCCGAAGGACTTCCAGAGGCTGGCTACTCTGGTGGAGTGTGGGAGGACTTCCAGAGGAGCATGGAAGAGTTCCAGAGGAGTACAGGAAATACTCAGAGGAGTTCCCACTGCACAGGAAGTGGAGAGACCCCAAGGTAATATCTCTATGGGAAACAGGATGGAAGGATAGGAGGTCCAGAGGACAGCAGGACAGCAGGACAGGATGTTTGGAAGTATGGGGGACAGGAGGACAGGATGTCCAGAGGTACAGAAGGAATAGGGGCTACATTGGATGAAGTCTGATGTAGAAACAAACAGAGGTAGACTACCCTAAGGTAGAGTCAGAGAGACAGGAATTGGACCTAAGTCCAGAAAGATAGTAAGTGCTGGAAAGGCAAGGCTCTGGCCTAGGGAATCAATCCCTAGGCCTGATGGATAGGACCAAACTTAGGTGGACTAAAGTCTAGGAGAAGATTTGGCAAGTCTAAGTTGAGAGAACAGGAACTAAGATGATGAGGACAGATCTAAGATGATATTCAGACTGAGGACTCTACTGGAGTTATACAGGGGTTATATACTAGAGGCTATCCAAGAGGATCAGTAAGCAAAGGAGTAAGGCTATGTACGAGCATGCAGTAACACATTAGTAAGTGAGATGGAACATAAGTAAATGAACTTGGAGATGAAACTAGTACAAGGATCAATCAGCAAGATGGAAACAGAGATAACCAAGAACTGGAAAGGCAGAGATGCCTAAATGGGGATAGGTGCAGGATCTTGGACAGAGGGTGAGAATAGGTCTGGAGATCTGGGGATCTGGAAGGCAAGGCATCACTTCAATCTGTCTGTCAAAATGTTCTGCAGCTTGGATGGGAGATTGAGGAAGCAGAGTGCCACAAGCTCATCCTGAAGGCATTTGAGAAGGAGGAGAAGAACCACCTGGACATGGCAGAATTGGACTATTGCTTCTTCAAGCAACTTGTGGTGAATCAGGATCTTTCATTGCTGTCCCAGGACACCAAATATCTACAAGCTGCACATGATAGCAAAATTGAATGCTTAGCTTCAGCTGATGAACATATGTTCCAGATGTTGGACATATTGCCACTTGCTGCTAAAGGTGAGGACTAAGGACTATGAGAGAAACTAACTGCTACTAAGGGAGCTCTACAGCAAGACCTGGATGCAAGACAGAACTTGACCCAAAGGACAGCTACTGAGAGAGTCCTCAAAATGACTGAGGGAGACTCTGAAACTGAACAGGCACTAGAGGACATGCAAAGTGCAAATGCTAGAAGAAGCACAATTGAGATGTGCATGAAAGCATGCTGGGGCAGTAGAAAGTGAGAGCGCATGCAATGGGGGTCTAAAGTGTAGGGGCAAGGGCTACCTGGAAACTAAATCCAGTGAAGAAAGAATCAAGCTGGTGCGAAGTGGTCATGTCTAGGCAGGTAGCATGCAAATTTGGACTTTTGAGACTTTAAACTTGCTCTGATGCGCAAACTACTGCTACTACACAGGGGTGGGGAGTGCTAGGATACAGTGCTCTAAAAAACTATAAGTCCCTTCTCTATATTGAATGCTAGGTGATGCTTGTAGCATGGAAGCAAAGCAAGTAGGTAGTGATATCTGTATGTAATGGTGCCTATGCACATGCATGTGCACTTACAGCACTGTAATTGGTCTGGAAGATATGTTAGAGTGATAAGAATACAATAAAAATGCACCAGTGGACTTTAGCGAGGACATGGACAGGTGGACAGACTGTAGCGGAGGACCTAGAGTGGGTGTGCGAGACATGCAAGTGTGTTTGCATGCACATGGCAGTTGCATGTTAGCACACAATAGCACAAGTGACTTATCCTGAGGATCAGAGCTGGAGTGTGAGTAGGAAGGGGTGGTGTACTGTCCTATCATGGCCATATAGAGGTGCAAGTCTCTACACTGCCAAATATGTCACTCACAGGCTGCCTGTATACCAAAACAGCAGCAATACAGAGTATGAGCCTGGTGATCAAGATCACAATGATAATTTCAGTGGCAATGAGTTGGAAGGTACTAGTGATTTTTCTGCTCCTAGATATGTGAATTACTGAACTTATCTGTGCAGATTGCTAATAGCTCACCAATGCAGTTTAGAAGTTACCATCAGCCTGTCCCTGTCACAAAGTATGTTTAAGTTGTTTTCTCAGCATATTTCACATTCTCCAGAACTTTGTTGTTTGTAAATGTACTTTACTTTTCTGAATGGCAGAAGAATCAATGGCCCACCATTGCGCTATTGATCAGCACATACAATACCATCAGGTAAATTTACATCATTAACACCTTGAACTAATACTATGACAGCCATGCAAAACCCTCCAGCAAGATTGAGCAGACAAAAAGCCAATCCTGTGCAGGTGAGTCATAAAGTTTAATTGCTCTTACTTGTTACTAACGTTGATGATATGTACAGCAATGGTTCAAGCCAGGCATCCATTCTGAGATAAATCTGTGCAGGCAGGACATTACTAGTCAGCTGGACCTGGATGGCAATCACACAAGAACACCATCACAGTATGAATCCTTCAGGCTGCCTGAACACATGCCTCGACTGGATCAGTCCCATCTCAACAGCTCTACACCCCACCTCAGCAGTTCTATCCCCTGCCTCAACTAGTACATCAACCCCCACACTAACTCCAAGAACAACAACTATATCACCCCCAACCTCAGCTGTACCACCCCCAGCCTCAATATCACAACAATCAAATGGCACAGACGCAGGCAGGTGCTTATGCAGGCGCCTATGCGCTCCTACAAGCTGACAGCACACCATCCCACTCAGTTCATGGCCACTTGCACCACCCACCTCAGATCCCCATACATCAACCAGGTGATCCCTACCCATGCTACCCCCAGTCTTCACATCACAATGTACCAGCATTGAATGATCAGATGGTGCAGGTGCAGGCAGATGCTTATGCAGGCGCCTATGCTCTCCTCCAAGGTGAAGGTGCACCGCCCTCTTCACAGCCAAACATGGACAGCAGGCATACATCCCAGTGGGGTGCTGCCCATCTTGTTGCCCTTGCACCACACCACCTGGGGGAAACTGTTCATGGGGAGAGAACACAAGGTGTAATTCAGGTAAGTGATCTCACATTCTGTGTTACAAACAAGTACTAATCTACCACACTCAGACAAAAAGTCAAATCTCAGACACCAGTAGATGTTGGTGTCAGGCCAGACTCCCCCCCACTCCTGAATTACCATCAGTCTTGCAACACACAAACAATGTCCCTGTCCCTACTGCCATGCATGCTAACAATGAATCTATTTTGCCAGTCATGACACTTACACAGCCAATGGCACACAGGTATAGGGAACTTGCAAAAGAAGATCTTTATGGCCTTGTATTTAAAGTCACAACTGATACAGATGCTGCCCCAGACACTACTATGCATGATGCTATGATCAACATGGCACTGCAGACTGCCAAAACAGAGCTTTTTGGTCAATGTAAATTTTATTGGTGTCTAAAGTGTTGTATCACTGATCTTTTCATTTATAGCTATGGTCAAGGAACTGAAAGGAATACACGACTACATGGTCTCATCATTGGCTGATATGTACCATGGGTTTAAAGCCCATGCAATGAACATTGTCCATCTCAGCTACAACCTCTGTCAGCCCTTATTTTTGCCAGTTGACAATGTCTCACATAAGGAGTCTATCATTCCCAAACTGCTGAAAGACTTACAGTTTCTACATTTATTTGAGAAGGTACATGTAAACTTATGGGACATACAGTAGCTGATCCTCAAGACTAGACTGCCAACAATCAAGAGATTAAATGTCTGTTGGAGAATCCGGTCCTCATCCACATGATCATCAACACATTAGCAGGAGGACTGTTGAAGGTGTTGGATGGACAGTTAGACAGGCTCTTCAGAGTCTGTGGGGCCACTCTCTACTGTGTGCTGAAGGCACACATCACAGGCAAACTCAAGGATGTTTTGGTGAACTTGCAGACCTTTGATGATATTTACAAGGAGATCATGGACTATATTAACCAGATGATTCATACATCAGATGATTTGAGCGCTTGGTTTGATGCAGTACAGCAACAGATGATCTACTGAGTCAAACACAAACAGTAGATCAGTAATGCTTTGTATTTAGGTAGACAGATAACCTCTGATTGTGCTTATCACTAATCATGTCAACCTTGATAACACAATGCTGGCTCTCACTTGTTCTCACTTGCTTGTTTAACTTTTGATTGGCATTTTTGGCATAGTTCCTGGCTCAATGCAGTTCAACCGAGACTATGCCAAACAGGGATTGTTCAACGATAGTTTTTCAACAGGTCCAAAACCTGATGCTGGTATCACTACTCAGCACTCACCATCATCTACCTATCCAATGCTCCTCCTTCATCAGAGCCTGGCGCGCTCACAAATAGCATTTGGAACACACAAGGATGGACCATTCAGGAGTTCCTTGCTCCTAAAATTGTTCTCTTCTACCAAGTAGATTGGACCCTATATCTTAACGACCGCTCACACAACCACAAGCAGTCTGTCAGTATCATGAGGGAGTTGGAGGATTCAAATGGCATAAATGCATGGGCACTTATTGACTTCCATCCAGGGACAAGAGATGCCCAAGAGAAACTGTGGTGGGTGTCAAACCATGATACCACAAGGGAGGAAGACATTGCATATTCGCTGTTTGGGATCTTTGGCATCCATCTTCCTATAAGCTATGGAGAAAAAAGACAGAACACACTTGGGTGACTCTTGCAGGAGATCATAGCCCATTCAGGTGACATTGCAACCCTTGATTGGGTGGGACAATTGTTCAACTTCAACAGTTGTCTCCCAGCCAAAATTTCCTTATACAAAGCTTCATCATATACACTGCCATCTCTATCTGAAGACAAGATGCAGAATTTGGTCACTATGCTGCAAAACAAGGAGTCAGCTTTGAAATTATATACCACTCTTGAGAACCTCAATGTTCCTCACTTCACAAATGCCAGACTGCAATTGCCTTGCATCGCATTTCCTCTCACAGAAGTCAGGTGGAGTCCTGCTGGAGACAGAGACAAATGTTTCACATATGAAGTCAAGGCAAATGGGCTAAAAGACCTGCTAGTCGCAATGAAAGACAGGCTTATTCAATTCTCACCTGCAAGGTGTACTCAGCAGACATTCTTGCTTGTCCATCTGTAGAATCAGTATGATCTCAGGTTGACTAACTTTGCAGATGAGGTGCAGAGTGTAGAAAATTGGCGCAAGCCTGGGTCTCTGTCAGATGATACATTCTGCAGCTATCCTGGATACAGCAAGCAGGCTACATGAGAGTTGAGGTTGATCGTTTGCCTTGGACAGCCTTTTGGCACACTTTTGTTAGTGCAGCAGTGGGGTGGTGAGTACAAGAGAATCACTTCAGATAACAATATCATTGCACAAGTCAGGGACATGGCTTCTGTTGATGACATGATGGATGTCAGGATGCTGGAGATATTGTAGCTGTGAAGAACAGGACAGTTTTATTTCATTTGACAATGCCTCCACATGAACAGTATCCCTAGAATATTGTGCTGCCTCAATCTCAATATTGTATCATATATTGTCTCATCTACATCTACATATTGTGATACACAGATGAGCTAACCTCAAAATCAAACATCTGATAGGGAAGAGGCAAAAGCCTGGTGCAAGCACTTCCTAGAATCATGCTCGTTCAGAATTGTCCAGTTTTTCTGGCACACCTCTCAACAACAGGCAAATATTGCAAGTGCAAAATAATTCTTCGAGAATAGGGGTATAACTCAGGGAATTGCACACACACAACAAACATGATATATATATCATGACAAGGTTCTGAGTGACAATGATTATTCAAATGCTCCATCCAATGATGTGTACAACCTAATATATGGGCCTTGCCTGCGCACGCTTGTTCATGCACTCTAGTGAATGCAGATCAGTATCTCCCCTTTGCAATACTTGGCCAAATCATTCATCAGACAGTGCAACACCCTAAGATTCGAAGTTGGCCCACACAAATGCAACATCAAGCACCTACTCAATGAACACAAAGGAATGCAAGCAGTTTTGAAGTACATTGTGTGCACAAGACATTTTGAACACATCTTTAGCGATGTCACCCCCCAAATGAAAAAGAGTAGGTGAAAGAGCAGATGAAACAGGACATCAAACCTGCTAGTGCCACACATCTCCTTGGCCAAGAATATACAAATTCCCTGAATTGCTTCACAAAATCCAAGCATACCCCCTGTTTACAGTCTCCAGCCTCTTCACCCACCTGTGGATAGCCTTCCACCACCAATGCATACAACTACATAATTTGAACTTGAATTTACATTTCTGAATCAGTAGATATGCAACGGGGACCTTTACCAGGAGTCTTTCCGTCAGGATACCTTGTCCACTGAAGGGTGCGTATCTCAGGAGTACACGGTCGAAACTGCGACTGCACAGCATTTCTCACTTTTGGACGCGCCAACCAATGGAAAGCTCTACGTTAAGACACAACTACGAATTGTCCTGCATTAAAATTAATGTTTGTATGCTAAACCATCCCTGTCATAGAAACGTAACGAGGATTGCTTCCGTCTCTTGCAAGTCTATTCCAGAGCAGATAGGTACGACGTCGACAGTTAGGGGCCCACTAACTCTACCGTCGCTAGTCTCGTACGTCTGGCCTCCCCAGGTCAGGTTGGCCGTATCGGAGGCATACCTACGCACAGCTTTAGCATCCAGACCACAATGATTATGAAATTAATACATACCCAATTTCTAGCGTCTTCACACTCATATTATCAGAAGTATATCCGGGACCCGTGAAAGAGAAATCGATGTGAGTCGAGTTCCTTGCGCCAGCGTCGGAAAAGTAAGCGACCAAGTTTATGAAGACGGCTTTTGAGAGGACGCCATGCTCATAAAATGCATAGCCTGCCACATTATCCTCGTCGATGGAGATTTCGACTGCCTGCGTGGCTCCAGATGACCCGATAGCCTCTGCGGCGATGATGGCTGCGTAGTATGCTGGTTGTACGTGTGGTGCCAGCGGTTCAATTGGAGAACCGTCGAGGATTGAGTAGTTGAGTGTCGTGGGTTGGATCTGCGCATAAGAGGATTGAGTGACGCTGCAATGATTCAGATGAATACTGACCAAATTGTACTTGTAGCCAATACCGTCGTGGAAGTGTAGGCGACTGATGCCGACTTGTGTGGCATACAGAGTGTAGTCAAGTAACCAGAGGGCGGCGCCGGCTGTATTGCTGACATCTAGTAAAAAGGACGATCATATGTAAGTGATTGCGGCTTCTGTTCATGTTATCGACCTTACTAGGTGCACCGTGGCAACTCATACCTATGAGCAAGTCAGCAAATCTAGCACTGTGTAACAACTCTCAGACAATAACTTACTGTTTGTCTCCCCGAGGATGTAGTCCAGCCCCTTAGCCAAGGTTGCTTCGACATCAGGGCTAAACGCGGATATATTGCCACGGATATAGCTCTTGGTCATTAAATCCTGCAGCACAGCTCCGCCGCCAGTACAGAATGAGCCGCTGTAATGGTGCTGCGAAATGCTAACCACGGGATTCAATATTCAGCACGCTATCCAGTTTCTAGAGCTGTGTTTGACGTACGTCTCGATTAGTTGACCTGCAGGAGATTCAAGGATGCCCAGATTAAATATAGCTTGCGGAGAGAACCCGCTAAGATTGTTGTGAGAAGACTCAGCGAAAGCGGCTCCAATTAATTTTGTGTATGAACAGTCGGAGAGGTTGGCTGTTGTCGATACGTTATACGCAAATTCCTCCCACCTTCATACTGGTCAGCACCGATGAGGACGTCATTGCCGTGAACTTACTCAGATACATATTCTTGCACATTCCAGCTGCTGTTGCGGCCCTTATTGTGGTAGTACAGATCGGCCTCGTTGCCGATTTCGATGAACTTCAGAGTGATATATTTCTCTACGACGGCAGGGGAAGAAAATGCGTTCATGAGGGCAACAGTTTCGAGATAGGCTGCCGTGAGGTTGTATTCCCTGAAGTTCACGCCCCAGTGAACTTGCGTACCTGAAAATAAAGCGAGTTAGTCGCTCGAGTGTCCCCAGAAAATTAGATTACCATTTGGAAGATGAGAGATGATGTTATAGAAGCCTTGGCCAACAGTGATATTGGTAGCTTCTGGGTATGGCCTTATTGTGCTCGAAGGAGGGAAAATATCTTCTCCGTACTAGGCACTAGTTAAGCACACGAATCGATTCAACATGAAAAGAAATTTACCTCGACGTCATAGCTGAAATCAGTGTGGTCCTCCGAGTCAGCACCTATTCTCACGAAGGGAGGAGTATTCGTGATTTGGATAAAGTTATCAAGGACGTTGTTAAAGAATGTATTCGGTTCTGTTGTTCCTGCCCAATCGGTCCATCTATCTTGCTCGATTGAAAGCGAGACGAGGTTCCCCATAAGTGGTGCTGCCCCCGGAGGCGCGGTAAGAGGGATTGTGACCTCTATTGCCGAGACAATTGGAGCGATGAGCGTGATGAAGTGGGCACTCCACATCGTGAATCGCGGGATGGGGGACATCTGCTCAGTTCTGATGCAAGCTTAGAGTGCAACTACGAGATACTATTGTATATGGTTGAAGGAGGGCGGGATGAGTCATGACCAAATCACGATCTGCTGGCCGTCTTTATACTGAGCCTCGTGCGTATACGTAGCTAGTCACTAGGCTATGTGAATTATGATGAGGACGTGACATACACGAGACTTCGAAATCCATTAAAATTTTAGCGGGTTTTCTCCGAGAACATAATCACGTCACAGCCAGAGAGAACATTATGCGCCGCATTCAAGTTTGCTACCAAGCTTTGCAACTGAAGGATTAAATTATGAGGAAGATGGCACAGATTCATATTCGACTGACAACACCAGGGGGTTTGAGGCCAGCCCTCGAAATTGTATGACTATACCTTGGCATCGCGAACTTTAAAGCTTAAAGGTGCCGGTGAGTTCCGGGAGATATTGATCAAGTGACCGACAATGGTTGACGGAATTGTCATTCTTTCAACTTCCTGATCTCCCAACGCGCCTGCCATTCAGACAGCGCTACAGCCGCACGGCGAAACACTGATCTCTAGGACTCCCTATCGCACCTACACAGGGCCAAAAACTGGACCTTCGCATCGTTCAGTATTACCTTCGGTTCCCTTAATTGCTGTGGAGGCCCCCTTCCGATTGCACTCTTCGGTTTCAATTTTCCTACTAGTATTACACAGCTGAATGTCTTCGCTGGGTTTCCAGCGCGACCTTACGAATCATCATCACTGCCTTTCGTGAGATGGCGCTGGCTAACTGGTCATGTATATACGCTCAATAGCTGTCGCTACTTACTAGTTGGCACAATCACATTGTCACCGGTCCTTTGTTCGCGCCCGGCGGCACCTCCCCTGGGCGTGGATTTTGGTGCACCAAACACTCCATGATATTACTGATCAGTCTAGTTCGTTTCAGGATCATGTCGGCATCTTGCACATCCTAAATGGGTCACATCGCTTGCATCGTCGTTTCCGAGAGCAGCTCTGCCGACATTGACAAAACATGGATTCACGTTATTCTCACATTTCGGGTCTTGGTCTGTACAACGCCCAATCTCGGGTTTCATTTTGAGGGTTACAGCATCACCATCCCTACGACGCCACTTCCCAGTGCGTTAGCTCAAGCGTCTTCCCTTTGCGGCGTTATCGTTCACGCGATAACACACTCGCTATTGCTCGTCCCTCCATTCAGCTCTTACCTTCACATTCTCCCAACAACATCCCATTGCTGCATCGGACGCGTCGATCCTCCCGTCGACACCATCCTTTTTGCATGCTCGTTCAGTCACTTCTGCACCTGACAGTCGGGTGGTCTTTTCGTTTGGGAACTTATCTGCAAGTATACTGCATGACGAGCTGTTGGGCATTATAGGTGCTGTTTTATTATCTATTCACGCTAACCTGCACGAACCCTACCTCGTCTTCACAGATCACAAGAATGCAGTGCACTTGGTTTTCCAAGTGTTCTACTCTACATCTGGAACACTCAGTCGGCACGCTCGTTGTACTAATGGCTATGTTCCCTCCTGCATCTCCTTCGCCTTCACTCTTCTGGCCTGCTGCTCACACAGGCAGTCTCACACCAGAATGTCTAGTTAATGATCATGTAGATCGCATGGCCTCTTCTGCGCAACAAAGCAATGAAGTTCTTCCCTCTTCACCACTTGTAACATTTGCCATAGATGACTATACCATCTTTGCGCCTGGTTATGGATTAATTGAGTGTAATTTGTCTTCTTTCGTTGCTTTCCAGCTTAAGGGTGCTTATGCGTTGAATGACTCCTTCCATCCGGCCAAAGCATTCTGTATGGCAGTCATCACCTGCCCGACTCTCTTACACACGAGCGTCTAGCTCATTCTCTGTTCCCATGCAACTATATGTCTGATCATCGCAACTAGACACTGCGCAGATGCGGCATCGTCGTTTTCGCGATACGCCACCTTAGTGTCGTGATGCTTTTGAGACCATACACCATATTTGCTCTCTGCCAAGCCTTTTTGGCTATCCCTCGTGCACATCATGATAGCGTGCAACTCTGTGATGAAACCTCCTTGCTTCCTGAGGGAAAATCTACAGATTATATCCGGGAGGTTTTCAATGGAGCTGCATGGCGCTTATTTTCTGATCACATGGGGCTCTGGCCACAATATCGAAGGCGTTTTTATGTGGGTATATTACCCCTGCTCGTAGGTATTGTGGCGAATGTTGGGACACAAGTAGGTGTTCTACCCCCACCGTCTAACGTCTCGGGCAGCACTCAATCATTAGGTAATATGGGTGTCTCATCCCGATAGCCTGTCAGTACGACAATGGGACCCCAGTGGGCTGTTGTCACGATTAGCGCTGGCATAGCATGTGTATAGCATTCGGCTTGCAGGTCATATTTAGGGAGAATACAAACGATGTGTCCGTGCTCTCAATGCTAATCCTTTCTCCCGAGTTGCACATTTGTCACTCGATGATTATTCGTACCTTTTGTCACATAGTTTGCGAGCTTTGCTTTGATTCCTGGCTTGCTTAGTTCGTAGTTCAACGTTGAGCCATCACTTGAAGGTATGGCCAAATAAAATCCTTCGTAATCGCCTAAACCGGTATGCTGACATAACCAACAACTCCGTTCTGCTCTCTATAGTCCACCATGACAGATGTCCGTGCCCTGCTTAAAGCCAAACGCCAGGAAGCACGTGTAACCCATCCACTTGCATCTTATACGACAACCGGACAATTGCGATGCTCCGTCTGCGGAACGAATATCAAGCATGCATCTGCTTGGGACGGTCATCTTGGCAGCAAAGTACACCGTACGAACGTGTCTCGTGCTAAAGAAGAGGAGAGGGCTAGGGAACAGCAACAGGCTATACAGGAGGCTAAAGTCACTAAAAGAAAGGCAGATGAAGATTCCCCTGGCGGAGATGCAGCCAAGAAGCAGAAAATTGAGCCTACTACCTCAACTACTCGTTCCAGCGCGTTTCCATCAGACTTCTTCTCTGACCCGTCAAACGCACCACCGTCCCTTTCAGATGATTCGGATGACGAAGATGTCAACTTATCTACAGTTACTCCCGCGAAGGAGTCGGGGCCACACGCTGCTGCCGTCACTCAACCAGAGCTTGACCAAGAGTGGATCAAGTTCCAACAGACGGTGATTAATGTGCCCGATACACGCGAGACATATGACCGGGCAACTGTATTTGCGGAACCGGATCTCGTTTCTGACGTGGCAGAAGGTTTCCCGCCCCTGCAGGGTGAGACGGATCCTCCAGAAGTTGGGGCTAAATTAGACCCGGACGAGGAAAGGCGGAGGAAGGATCAGGATGAAAGGGAAATGATCATGGACCGCTTATTGGATGAGGAGAGGGCGCAAGAAGAGGCGGACATGAAAGTCAGTGTAATGAAAAGTAGGTTGGAGGCGTTGAGGATGAAGCGAGAGGCTGCACGGACAAAGCCAAAAATTGCGGTGTAGCAAGGTTTTCGACAATCAGTTATTCCCCCGATTGACTCTGATCATCATATGTACTAGGTGTAATATGCCATGATTTAATTGCATGGCATATATTTGGCATCTACACAGTACTTACCGGTGCTCCATCCGAACCTACAACTATATAGGCCTCGTCCACGCGCGCTTGTTCGCACATGTATTTTTAGCGCGGGCTATCACTCATCGCAAGTAAATTCAGTGCACGAATGAAGACTTCTACATTCAATCATAGCTGGCACTGCTTACACGAGTAGATCCACGAGCAGATCGTCTCAAAAGCTAATGCAAATCGACTTTGACACGCCCGCTTCCTCCGTGATACTTGGCTCAGAAAGTACGAATTTCTTCGGTTTCCTCACAACAGAGTCACGTCTTCGGCCCTCTTCACCCACCCATGATGACATTCCACCGGTATAAAACTCATTTGAAATTGGAATTCCCGAATTCGTAGATATGTAATGAGGATCTGTTGGTAATTGGTGGTTGCCTGGATCAATCCGATTCTAAATTATCTCGATCGTGGCAGGTACGATATGCTGCAGAATGATCAGCTGTAAGAACAGCAACCCGATAGCTGGGGGACGGACCGAGTCGTTCTAAATCGATGATGGAAAACTATGTGCGACTTCGGGATGTATTCCCTTGAGTACGGGGCATTGCTGGACAAGGTGTGAGCTTAGTTGCGCTGGGGATTAGTACGAGGGGCGTAGGGGAGAGAGAAAGAACAAGCAGCATGTTGTCATTGACAAGGGTACACAATTAAAGCTTGAAGTCGCGAACGAGTGGTGGCTCAATCGCGTGCAAAGTTCTATAGCTCGGCAGTACAACGGAGGCCGAACGTTCTTGGCCATCGGGAAAGTAGATGAGTTGAAAAAATGTTTCATCCGACGAGCGTGAAAGCTTGCAGTGGCTGTAGGCATAATTAATTGGACAATTTATATTTATGGCTTTGGTATATCTGCTCCGTCCGATGGCACCTCGTGTTGCATCCCTACCCAACGTCTCCATTCTAACCCTTGCTTGTGAACCATCATCAGAGCCAGCATCACCGGCAAATACCACAGGTAATTTTGGAACGATATCCTTGCTTCCTTTTCTCCACAACGCCGCCACCAGGCCAAAGAACCACGAACGCAAATTGCGTTCGGAACTAAGCTTGTGATAGCAAAGGCCCATGTAGTCAATCCTGACAGGGGGAACAAGATAGAACAAATAGGGACAAGGAGTAAAGAGTGGCGGAGAGCCACGAGAGCATTCTTTTGTGGGTTCAGCACACATAGCATCTTGTAGCCTGCTTGGGCATAGGAACCTCGAATAAAATGCGATAACGAGTTGAAGTGAGGGAATTGCCAACTGTAGAGCAGCATGAATAGTGCGAACGCGCCAAGGGGGTTATCGATCATGGACATGTCTAGTGGTGTCTCTGTGAGGAACGAAGGAAGAAAAAGGTGAATCGGGTAATCTGCAGATGGGAGTATTTTTCCACCACAGGCCGTCCAACCCATGACCGGCGGGATTCCACCAACGACTGCGCCAACCCAGGTGTTGGATACGCTTTTACGTTTCAACCAAGTGTATGCCGCTGCATAGAGTACAATGTTGGCTACGCCAAGACAAGCTGTAATTGGGCTCGCCATGAACCATAGTACTGCAGGACCTGCTACTCCTGTCACAGCAGCAAACCCCGCAGCATGTAAAGGGGAAATGGCTCTTCGAACCAACGGCCTTTGGCGGGTGCGAGCCATTTGAGCATCAAAAGGTATCTCTTGGAGTTGATTCAAAGTATTCGCCGAAGCCGAACACAAGGCCGTGCCGACAGCTGTGGAGAGAAGAATCGGGACAGTCGCAGGAAGTGGTGAGAGCGCGACCCCTGACATTGCAGTCAAGACGACCAAGATGGTCAGGCGCGACTTCGCGAGCTGCGCGTAAATCTTTAATAGGCGTTTCGGGGTGAGTACTTCAACTTCTTTGAAGCCAGCGGGGGCGACATGAACTGCATCTGGTTCTGCAATTGCATGTGCAATGCCCCGGACGCGAGTTATGTCGGAAGCCTTTAGCCCATCACTGCGAGCAGACCACTGTTGATTGTGGCAAAAGAAGGAAGTAAAATCTCGACGCGCAGAAGACATGGTGTACGGTCTACTGAAAGCCGTAGAGGCCAGAAACTTTTGGCTAGCGAGAGAGCGTGATGCACTTGATGTGCGGGCAATAAAACTTTTGCTACATGACTGAAAAGCATGTATTTCTCTCATTTCTGAATACAGAGCAGTGATTTTTGCATGAGCTCGCTGTTATGGATAGCGGCGACTGACTCACCTGCACCAGCGCACAGACCAAGGTTCCAGTTAGCGGAGTTTGAACGCCTTCTCACACAGCGACTCGTTACACGTTTCTAAAAAGTTGACAGGTGCGCTCGCACAGCAGCTTAGTGAGCTCTTGTAATTGCGCCTCATCGTCGCAAGGCTCCGTTGTAATACCTTGCCATGCCTGGCACACATCTCCTCCCACCAAATCTTTTAAAACTATTTGCACCTCGACCGCCTCTTCCTTATGCACGACCAGTTGGCAAAGATATCCACCGTGTAACTTCCAAAAATGTTGATGGCGTTGCAAGTATCCTAGCGCGACTCAAGGAGGCCTCAACTGCAACATTGATCGCAGGGAATGGCGAAGTTGGGGACGGGATGGAAGAAGGCGAGGAACCTGCATTCACACTAGCCGAAGAAACCAAACGACAAATTCGGAGAGAGGAACGCAAAAAGAAAAAGACAGAAGAGTTCAAGATCGCAAAGGAGACCTGTGAGTTGTCATTTTCGTTAATGTGATGTAGGTCCGCTAAGCACTTTTCATCTTATTTCTAGACAAGCCTGCGGATGACGCGGAAGCCATTGGAGACCCATATAAGACGCTCTTTATATCACGTCTGGTTAGCTCTATCGTCATGTTGATTTTGCGCATTTCGCTCACCTTTCATGCAGAATAAAAACGCAACCGAAAGTGACCTCCGACGCGAATTCGAGAGTTTTGGCACTATTGAACGGGTAAGACTAGTGCGGGACCAGAAAGGCCGGTGCAGAGGCTACGCATTCATTGTCTATGAACGCGAACGAGATATGAAAGGTAATGATGGTAAAAGTGTTGTTTCTTTCATTTGTACTGAGCTCTTTTTAGCGGCTTATAAGGAATCTGATGGTTTGCATATCATGGGAAAACGCATACTTGTTGATGTCGAACGCGGCCGGACTGTAAGAGGATGGAAACCTCGTCGTCTTGGTGGAGGTCTTGGCGGACGCCCGAAACCAGTCGAACAACCTGTATTACCCCCTCCGAGAGTTTCCAGTGGACGAGGCGGTTTTGCAGGAGGTGGGGGCGGGGGGAGGGGTGGAGGATTCGGTGACCGAGGCGGATTTCGCGGCGGTCGCGGTGGCGGATTTAGAGGCGGCGGTGGCGGCTTTGGGGACCGGGGTGGCGGCTTTGGGGACCGGGGTGGTTTCCGTGGTGGAGGTGGAGGTGGCTTTCGAGGTGGACGTGACGATGGCTACAGGTCGGTTCAAACATTGGACATAGTTTTTATGTGTCACTTACTCTCTCAACAGGGGTGGTCGAGGCGGGGGCGTTGGTTACCACGGAGGTGGATTTGGCGGTGATGCTCCTGCTAATGGCTTCGGCCCTCCAGGTGCTCAAGCTCCTGGTGGTCCCGGGGGCTTTGGCGGTCCTCCACAACAAGGCTATGGACCACCAGGGGGTGGCTTTGGTCCAGGTAGAGGCGGATTCCGTGGAGACCTCAAACGTGAAGGACCTGGTGGGTATGATGACAGGGACGCCAAGCGACCGCGATATTAGTTGCGGCTGGGTGAGATACGTCCAGTTCTTTTTCGGTTCTCGTGCTTCTTGCTTCAAGTCCTATGATTCCGCGCTAGGTGGGGTGTGTAAGTACTGAACGCTTTTGTTGTCACATTGCTCTGCAGCCTTTGCGTAAGTATCACTATTTTATTGCTAGGAGATGGCGTATTTTTATTAGTGATGGTTAAGGCAAGTGTGAGTATACAAGATGCTATACAACGACCTTCAACGATAGCAATTATGATGTACATATCTACACATATCTTGGTGATCAGTACGCTTGACGAGATGACAGCGTAGCGAGAATGTGACTGATGTTTATTATGTGAAGGCCCATGCTACATTTTGTTCGGAAGATTTTCGGGCCAATCAGCGCCTATCAGCACCCGCCTATTGCAAGGCTCGATCTGAGATTTCTGACATGTCGCCCGTGGTTACACATCAATGGTCAAAGCAGGGTCCCTATACGGTACTGTGACGGTAAGTACGTACGTACCCTTTTCGTATCAGTTCCTATCGCTGGCGGTGGGCAACCTTGGGCAACATGCAGTGTGACACGGTTAGCTGTTATCATGAACCTGCGTGTCATCCAACTCAACTTTCCGTTTCCCGCTGACTCCAGATTAGCCCATGAAAAGTGTGGTCAAGGATCGCCGGTAAAACCAGACTATCGGCTTCTTCGGGAGAGAACGTCACGGATCACAGGCTAGCACAGCCTGAGGCAGAACGTTGACATGTCTGATCGGAAGTCGATCCTTAAAAATGTTTTCTACAAAACATGACAATCTTGCTCGTTTGACAGCACGGTGCGATCCTTGGTATGTGAACAGAATTATGTATATGACTGCACAACGATTCAAGTGAGGCATGCAGGACCCTGTTTTTTAAGCCCGGAACCGTCCGCGACTCCGCGTACTTTTTCTATCGAGACGTAGAATGTTATATGCGAAAAAGGCTAGTTCTCATGTTGATCATTTGTTCCGAACTGCATAGCAACTCCCGGTGCCGCAACCTTTTTGTTCAGCCGCACCTATCCAAACATTCACATCGGTTTGTTTCAGAGACCGGATAAGAAGCTGAGTTCAACTTGAAGTGCCAGCACACCAGATCATGATGCGGCTTCTTCGGGTGCGGTAAGTAAGCTTTGCTTGCTTGGCAGACAGCGTACAAACATGCGTATCTCCCCGCCAATGGTAGCAGTTCCTGGGACCCATCAAAGATTCAACTCAGCCAGCTACCCGAATCCGACAGATCTTATCATTCCAAACTAGTCATCATTGCATGCAGGATTACAGCATTACGGACATGACCCTAGTACCCAAGGATTCCGCTCGTTTGGAGCACTGACCATCAAACTTTATAACGCTCTGGGCACCGCGTTCAAGTTTATCTTGCTGTTTCCAACTTGCTCAAGAGGAACGTCAAAATTTTGTGGATGCGTACGTCGCAGTACGGAAGTAGACATCTCCCCCAACTACGGTTCCTTGGTTGGTACCCCGATCCGGTGAGTTCCCTTATTTTGGCTTTGATTCGTACCTTCCTCTCTCCTTCCTTGCGTGAATCTTCCTGCGCGACCCATCATTCTCCTTCCTGACTTGCCTTTTGAGTAGGCTGCGCGATCGTCTGATCTGGCGTACGATTGGCCTGCCACCTCTCCGACCTTTTCTGGCTACCTTGTCCTTACAAGGGCCTGAACCGTATCTTGTTCAACTCAACAACTTGACATACGGGCAATCGATCTCCTCTTTTTACGACTGCACCAAAAGCCGCTCAAATAAACAAGTGAAAGGGATAACCTCCCTTGCTACGATCGTCTGCTTTTTGCTTCCTACCTCTGCCGCTGGACTTGGGAACTGGGTGCGAAACCTGTACTCCAGAGCGCATTTTGTGCGTTTGTCTCTGGGTGCCCATGGCACGTGCAGGATATGTTGGCCAGGATGAGCTGCTAAGGCATCCTTTACACTGCGAAAATCCTCATACTGCGTCAGACTGTTCGCCTTCTCCCGTTAGCTCGTCAGCTCAGTCTCCGGTCAATGCTGGGGCTGTCCGACCCAGCTCCGCGTCGTTATCGGACAGCAACGAGGCGGATTCCAGCAAAGTCCCATCTTCTGGTCCACAGAGGTCAAAGTCCATCAGCGGCGTGGGAGCCAAGTGGGAAAGAGAGAAGCGGAAGCGTTCACGTGTCACTCCTGAACAACTTATCCATTTGGAGCGCTTCTTTTCGATGGACAGAAGTCCCACTGCAGCGAGGAGGAAAGAAATCAGTGACTTATTGGGCATGCAGGAACGACAAACACAAATATGGTTTCAAAACAGGTCCGTAAATTCTCTACAGCGCGCATGCACCGCTGATAACGGTCCCTCAGACGTGCAAAGGCCAAACTGCAAGATGGCAAGAAGGGTCGAGGGGACAGCGCTGAAACCCCACCGGATACCCCCCCAGAATTGGCGACCGGATATGAGGCAGAGTTACATAGCCTCATACATGAAGACGAACGTAAGTCGCCAGACTTTTGGAGCCTGGTTTCTTTACTTATGCCGTCTTTGCTACCAGCGGTTACTATAATTCCGTGCAATGATTTGTCTATAGGGACGTGGCGTCGTATTGCAACCGCCGTAGGGAAGCATGATCTCGTGGCTTACCTGTGTGACGGCAAGCGGTGCTTGACGTGGTTCATCCACTCAGCAGGCTATGGCTTTAAGATGGAAATTCCTTTCGACATTATCGTTCATACGGAATTTACAAACGCGGCGCCAGGGTCAGGACTGGCTTCATTTATCCTTTCACAACCGCCAACTTTTTACCTTGAGTCCTTCTCGAGCCCCGGGCCCACTCGGCAGTGGAAAAAATGTGCGGATTGGACGGAAGGACAACAAGCCACTAAGATCCTGCGTCATGACCTGATAGGTTCAGCGGTACAGCTTGCACACCTTCTGCGCCATCTGAACGCACATGCTTCTGGGTCGGATATTCGTCTTCATTCACCGTCCTATTACTCTCAGGAGCCGCCGCCACCTCTCATGGAGGTCCCCCAACCACCCATGGCAATTTTAACAGGGCCTGCATACCCATACGGTGGAGATGCCGGCGACTCTAGAAGGGCAGAAGGTCCTGTCCACATAAGGAGAAGGTCTTTTTCAGGTGGCACCATGCAATTGAGTCATCTGCATCGCCCCAGCCATCAGTCTCTCGCTGTGGACTTACCTGTCAACCCGACCCCAGGGCCACACTCAGCCCCGTACGCTTCATCATCTTTCTCACTATATTCCAGTCGTAATCACCCATCCATCCACTTATCGTCTCATTCATCGATGTTCTCGGAATACGCGAACTCCGTGTCATCGCATAGTGCATCGCAACAATCTCAATCCCCAGTCGACTACGGTCCAACAGATACCCATAGTATTCCCCCGCATTCCTATTCATCCGCACCGGTGCATCATATGTATGATGGTACTATGTCGATGGCTTCTCCATATTCTAGCAATGGACCAACCCCTAGTTCCTCTACCCAGACGCCATTCGTTTCCCCTTCACCGCCGTTGTTGACAACTCCATTTTATCCTCCCACAAATGAATACAACACACGGGGCTGAGCCTCATTAACTCACAATACCTGGTTTACCATATGAATCTGAGGAAGCTGTAACCCCCTGGACCTTTGCGCTACTTCGCATGGGTTGCCCAATAATTTTTTGCCTTCGTTCGCGGTACAAACTTCATTCACCTTCACTTCACAAGTTGATTTTTAACATTTTAATACCCTACACTGCTTCGCTTCCACATCTTTAGTACGGGGTCCGTCATTCCACGCTCCATAGGAAGCATATCTTCCTTCACTGAATGCTGGTATACATCATTATTTAATATCTTACTTGTAACCACAAAGACACCTTGTCGCACACCGTAGCTTGCACAGTAGATGGTAATGAATCCTCCATGCCAGCCTCGTGGTTTCAGAGTCAAGAACGGAACCGCCCTGATAACACGCAGGTGAGATTGATGAACGACTAACATGAAAACACAATTAATGAAATGGGTGGTATGGATACAATATGCCGACTATATCTGATTAAGTTGTCGCTGCTCCCGTTCTCTGCTTAAGCGGGCGCTGTAGGTTTTGCTAATCATGTTGACTGCGAGACTGTGAGCAACTACATGACAGGGTATCTCGACCAGAGACTCACATGTTTCCAGGTAACGTTCGAGACATCGAGACAGGCATGTCTAGATGTGAGAAAATGTCAGCATCTTCTTTGCAAACTCGATGGGTACACCCACCTCCTCCGAGCTAGACAAGGAGGGTCCAGGCTTCGTTACGCACTTAGCGAAGCATTTTTCGTTTGTTTTCTAAAAGTATTTGTTACTGTGAGCACTAGTAGCGATAGTAAGGATCACACGTTTATAAGCTCCTGCGCACTGGCTAGGGCAATCTCGGAGCGCACACCATTCATCACGGCTTCTTTTTTTGCAGTCATGTCTATAAATGACTGAGTGGCAGTTAGAATTGCATGACTGAGCGTCGCATACCTGACGGAGAACTAGACGATGACGATTTGAAGAAGTCGGACATATTGCAAACAACGAGGAGCCAGTGGTAGAACTTTTAGAACGACTTGGTTGTACGAAAATCCTCTACGACAGTCCCAGGCCCTGCGTGACTTCGGAAGCAATTGGAAACTCTAATAGCACGGAACTCACGGGATCTGATGACGAAGACCATTGGCTCGTACTGCGATCACAGTGTTACTAACAGCAGTTTCATACGTTCATGGGTGCACGGGAATCCATCGGACGCAACACTGAATCCGAGGATGCAGTCCCCGACTACTATGAGCTACTGGGTGTCGAGGAATCGGCAAACAGCGACGAGATCAAGGTATGATACGGCTCATATTAACTTATCAAGTGTCTGTGGTCTGATTATCATCAAGAAAGCCTTTCGAAGATTAGCTCTTGTTCATCATCCTGACAAGAACAAAGATGATGTCGAAGGTGCTACCAAAAGATTCGCCGCTATTCAGCAGGCATATGAGGTGCGAGTTCTCACCCCAAAGAATACGAGTCGAAGGCTCATCGCACGTCGGATCGACAGGTATTGAGTGATGACCAGGTTAGTACTTGTTATTATGCATTCCTCTGTATCGCTCTTGACTGTACTATGCAAGTAGGAAAGAGCCTGGTATGACTCTCACAAAGCATCTCTAGCACCAGAACCTGATGCAGAGGCCGTCTTCGAGGACATTCGAAAAGGCGCCCCACCTCCCCGTGCCCGTGACAGAGGCCTGACCGTCAGGCACCTCGCTCGATTTTTTGATGCTACCGTCTGGTCAAGCTTTGACGACAGCGAGAATGTACGTTCCGTATATAATGCGTTGCCCCCATAACCGCAATAACATATACACTATGATCACTACTTGTACTCACCACCACCAGGGCTTCTTCACAATTTATCGCAACCTCTTTACACGCTTAGCACAGGAAGAGAACCTCATCTCTCAGATCGAGTATCCTAGCTTTGGAGATGCCTCCTGGCATTGGTCCATACCCAAATCAACAAATGAGCCCGCTGCACGCAATTTCTATAATGCATGGATTAATTTTGCGACTCTCAAGGATTTCGTATGGATGGAACAGTGGAATCTTGCCGAGGCACCCGATCGTCGAGTGCGACGGTGAGTAATGGTGTCTAGTCGCATTATGTGGCTGAATATTTTCCAGGCTCATGGAGAGAGACAACAAAAAGGCCAGGGATGAGGCAAGAAAGGACTATAATGAGACTATCAGAGTAATTGCTCACAGTTACATTTTACTTGAAAAAGCTCTCATTATTGGTGCACAGCAACTGGCTACTTTTATTCGCAAGCGAGACCCGCGATACAAGGCCCATCTCGCTGCACAATCTCAAGTTAACAAAATATTATCCCAAGCCAAAGCCCCCACATCTGGGTCCTCCACACCACGTCCCCAGCCCGCCAAGCCTTATGTAGAGCAAGCCTGGCAGAGAGCGGGCGGTATGGATTATGATGCTGATGCTGACCTCGAGTGGGCAGCAGGTGAAGGCAACCCAGAGGAATGGGAGTGTGTCGCATGCGGGAAGACGTTTCGTAGCGAAGCTGCATGGGATAGCCACGAGCGTAGCAAGAAGCACATGCGTGAGATCGAGAGACTGAAAAGGGAGATGTGGCAAGAGGAAGAAGCACTCGGGCATGGTCCGGAGGAGGGAGAAAGCGACGATAATGAGGTGGATGGAGACTTCGATAGCGAGTTTGTTCCTCCACTCCCACCAACGCCCTCAGAGCCGGTACTCGAAAACGGAGAAGTCGGTTCACCCCCAGGGGGACTCCCGGCTGAAGATGACCAACTCGCGCACAAAAAAGGCAAAAAGAAAAAGTTTAAGCCCCAAACAAGACCATTAGACGATGCGTCAGCACCCTCCATCACACCACCAGAAAGCAGGGATGGTTTTCAGGATATAATGTCTTCCCAGCCCGAGCTTTCAAAGCGGGAAAAACGAAAGCTCCGAGAAGCAAAGAAAGCCGCCGATGTTGTCAAGGCAGAGCACAGCATGGTCTGCACTTCTCCCTCCCGCAATTGCTCTACTGTGTTGATATACTTATAGGTTTGCAACGTGTGCAAATCACCCTTTGAGAGCCGCACGAAGCTATTTGCACACATCCGCGAATCAGGACACGCGCTTGCTGAATCCGAAGACCCGGCGCGAGGGAAGAAAGGGCGCAAGGGGCGATAGTGGTTGGGTTGATGATAAAGATCGCCAGTGTATGCCAGATAGAACATGAGTCACCGGAACGCATAGCATCTCGACTGACACCGCAGAACTTGCACTAGGATGTGCTAGGTCATGAATGGTACGAACAGCATAGATATACAATCAGCTTGATAAAATGTCCAGTACAAATGTACACACACAAACGCCCTACTAGAGCAGCACAAACAAGACTATCCCATAAGCTGTGAAACGTCCTCTGGTGGATATTTTGTCTGAGAGAACGTCAAGAGCCTGTGAGGATGTATCAGCTGAGTTGACACTTGAAATGAAGCAAGAGTAAAAAAGAAAGATACAAAAAAAAACGAGACTAACCGTTTGAGGCTTTGTATATATTTCCTGCTGACTTCATCATTCAGCACATGCGCAACCTGGTCCGTGGAGATCTTTTCGCGTGCGGAACGTTCATGGATGCTAGTAAATCATTCAAATAAGGCGAACGTGATGATAAGAATGGTGGATAAATACACACCCCACCATCGTAACACCAATCGGCCATGGCGCATTACCAATGGACAGACGAAGGTACGAGTCGTTTGCTCTTTGGTATTGCCGCATTTGCATGTAATATACTATTTCAGCTATGCGTACAAGCATGTCCGGCGGTAAATTCTATGACAATCGACTGTCAGCTTGATGACTCCACTTTTAACATGAAAAAAGCCTGTGATGACAACAAACATGTATATATAAAGTTTGGATGAGTGGCAGAGAGCAAATTCAAAGTGATGTGCAAAGACAAGAAATGAAATAATCGAGAAAAGTAGAAGGGCAGACTCACTCGTGAACGAAGTGTCTTAAACAGTGGCTTTAGATACTCGGCAGACTGAACTTGCGTTGCTGCAGCCAATTTTCCCTGATGAGTCCGTTTGACGTTTTCTGTATCTCCTGTTAGATATACAGAGTTAACGCTTGTGCAAGGCATACCTGGTCGTTCATCCATTGCCTCCTCCCATTCCTTGAGCGTCCGCTTGAGTGCGTAGTATATGACGGGGTACAATTTATCCGGATCTGTCTTCAACAGCCCCAAATCCACCATGGCTATACTCCCGGCGCTATTGTTCACTTCTCCATCATCCTTCTTCTTCCCCTTATCGTTTTTGGCCCTCAATTCCCTCTCGACGCTCTCGACATCTTCCAGTGCCTTCCTAAAGTCATTCGTGCCAGCTTTTTCATGACCACGCTCTTCGATGAGTTCGAGAGCACGCAAACGCAGGCGCCGGTCGCGGTCGCTTTCACCAAAAAGTCGGATCGGCTGGCCTTTGGCTCGCAGCCGGCGGATAGCCTCATTGTTTGGAATGTTGAATGCACTGTCTAAGATTGTCGAGTCTGGGTCCCGACTTTCCGGTAAAGGGGTGTTAGAAGTGGAGCGCGAGGAAGTGTCGGCCTGCTCGCCAACCCATAAATCTACTAGCAGTGAAGATGACAAGATGAGCTCACCGTTTTCTTCTGCTTGCTTCTCGCTAGTGTAGCGTCCCTCTCCACCTGCTCTGCCGCCCTTTCTTTTTCTTTCTCCTCGCGTGCTCGCCGTTCTTCTTCTTCTTTCAGGCGCTCAAGTTCACCGCGACGCACGTACTTAGACGGACGCGTCTCAGCGTCATTCTGTACGGATTTGCGCTTGAGCGCAATTTCAGCTTTGAGAGCGTCCATGACGATATTTAAATAGGAATCAAATGTTTGTGCAGTTGTATCACGGTAAGTCCAAGGTAAGGATGATGTGCTGACTAATCAACATACTCCGTCCAAACCCGACCTCTTAAGGTTTCTAAGACCGCATCGACATCCATCACACAAAAATGTCTGACTCTGAGACTGTTGATCTGTCGAGGTCCGTCTGCATCATCTTTGTCGGTCTTACTTTCAGCTCACAGAATATTAGCAAATATGTCCTCCAAACTGCTGGCTTTGACGGTGCGTCCTACTCTTCTTCGCTCCATGTTTTACACCAGCTAACTCATTTCGGTTGGATACAGCTCGCTTTCCGAACACCAACCAGACGCGTCACTGGTGAGCAGCGACTCTTCTCTAGTGTGTAGCGTGTATTCTGATTGTGTCACATTACAACAGCTTCCAGAATTACACGGACTACTTCAAGTGCGTCGCCGCCAAGGGTGAAGACTTCGCACCGTGCAAACAATTTAAGCGTGCCTACAACTCGTTATGTCCTAGTATGTTCCTTTTCTATCTCGGTTATATTAAGCGTTCTGACTGTTGTTCCTTTAGATGAATGGGTAGGTGTTCAATATCATGACACAAGTCTGATTCCTTATTCATGCTGTCATGTCCAGATAGCGAAGTGGGACGAACAGAGGGAGAACGGGACATTCCCTGCGTCACTCGAGCCTTGATATAGATAGCTGATGCCCTTGCACCTTTTTATTCAATGATAAACTCTGCTTGCTTGAGTGGTTTTCTGCGAACCTTTATACGCTGCTTTTACGTCTCCAGGTTTTCGGAATAGTTTCCGCTGCGACCGATTTGCGATTGACAAACTCCAGTTGTAAGGCCTTCTTGGCAAAGTTCTGAGCAAGTTCTGAGCCTAACTCTGACGCGTAAATAACAAGTTCTTAATCCGCCGCCTCCGTACAAGACATGAAACGGGTTGCTGGCACGTGAGATACTAGTCAACTTAGGACTTACGTGCATGTCCACACCAAACGATGGACGGTATCAACCTCAACGCTCTGAGCGAGAATGCAACGCGGCTTGGGATGAGGATTCAAGAGACAATAGCTGAGCATACCCGGGATTTGTCGTTGACACGGGGCGGGAGCTCATTGTTTGACATGGCGGACGACAAGGCGAAGAATATAACAAAGCAGCTTGAGTCAAGCAGCGACCGTGAAAAGCTGGATGCCATGAAACGATTGATCGCGGTTTGTGCCAGTCAGTGTGGTATCTGTATAGAAATTATAACATTGCTTGTCCTCAGCTCATCTCAAAGAACCGGCCAGTCTCCTCATATTTCCCCGCTGTAGTCAAGAATGTAGCCAGCCCAAACCTCGAGCTACGCAAGCTGGTGTACATCTACCTCCTTCGTTGTGCACCATCTGAACCTGATCTGGCATTGCTATCGATCAATACTTTCCAGCGAGATCTCGCTGATCCGAGCCCTCTCATACGTGCTATGGCTCTTCGTGTGCTGAGTGGCATTCGTGTTTCTACCGTTGCTACCATCGTACTTATGGCTGTCCGAAAGTCTGCTGCAGACCCGAGCCCATACGTTCGTAAGGCTGCTGCGTTTGCCGTTATGAAGGTATACAAGTGAGCCCAACCTAATTCAATATCCATCCATGAATCACGAAACATGTGTCAAGACTAGACCAGGCACACCACCCAACTCTGCTCGATATTATGACGACTCTTCTGCGCGATCGTTCTCCGCTTTCACTTGGGACTGCTGTTCTTGCTCTCGACACCATTGCGCCATCTCGCCTTGACCTTCTCCACGTGCATTTTCGCCGCCTCTGCCGTGCCTTGCCGGACATTGACGCATGGGGACAGGTCGACGTTCTCCGCGTACTCGTACGATACGCGAGGACTATGTTACCCAAGCCCGTTCCCGCCAACGAGAGGCAAGGGGAAGAGGTTGACAAAGATTTGAAGCTCCTGCTGGCCTGCGCAGAACCTCTCTTCATGAACAAAAACCCTGCCGTGCGCATATCAATCCACTTCCATCATGAAAATCATGTTAACCAAGCAATCAGGTTGTTCTTGCTGTCGTACGGGCCTTCTACTACCTTGCCCCTTCGTCAATGCTCTCAAAGATTGGTGCACCTCTCCTTCGCCTCCTCAGCGTGTCGCGCGAGGTTGAGCGTGTGGCATTGGCTTACTTGCTCGTCGTCGCACGTTCGCATCCAGTACGTATCTCCGCGAAGATATGGACTAAGAGCTAACGGTATTCATTGATTGACTATTACATTCTCCTTTCGACTCGACCTCGCTCGAATTGCACATCCACTACCCTTGTATCCATATTCAGGCTCTATTCATTACTTCACATAACCGCCTTTTCGTGCACGCGGATGATGCAGAACAGGTGAAACGGACAAAGATTTCCGTTCTCTTGGCATTGTGCACAGTTGACAATCACCAGACATTACTACGAGAGTTCGTGGTACGTTTAGTTCACCTATTTGGAGGTAGGGGTAGCTGATTGCATTTCCTTTTCTTCTTTTCCAATACCCTTTTGACTCTACACCTGACATTTGATCGCGTGTCGTTATGTTTTTCCCTGCTGCTAAACCCTCATCGGGTATACAGGACTATACTCAAGACACAGACGACTCTGTTGTGGGAGATGCGATCCATGCCATTGGACGCATTGCCAGCCTCGTTCCCTCGTCTACGCCTCAATGCCTCACTGCCCTCATGGGAATGATCAACAGCAAGCAAGGTCGGTGCGATCTTTTAATCTCCTTATAGTTCAGTTTTACATGATTGCATAGATACCATCGTCTCAAATGCAGTCCTCGTCCTAAAGTCCCTTGTCCAAAATCAACTTCTCACACCTTCCTCTACCTCAACCACAACTCTCGCAACTTCCTTGTCGTCGCAGCAAGCTCTCCTCACGTCATCCATTCCCTCGCTGATACCATCGATCTCTACTTCATTATCAGCTGCACCCCTGTCCTTCACAAGCACGGAGTCGACCTCTGTAGCCCAAGCCCCACTCTCTATTATTGCCCAGCTGGCCAGGCGCATTGACGACATCCGGCACCCCCACGCACGAGCTTGCGTGCTGTGGCTCGTCGGTCAATACGGGTCGGTGCCAGATACGGGAACAACAGTTGAAGGCATAGCAGACTGGGCACCAGATGTGCTGCGCAAGGCAGCGAGAAGCTTCAACACTGAGGTGTATTTCAACATACTTCATAATTCCCCCGCTCGTGCTAACTCCTACCAGGCTTCCCTAGTCAAACTCCAGACCCTCACTCTTGCTGCGAAACTGATACTGCTCGCGCCTACGCACCGTACACTCGCCCTGCTGGCACAGCATGTTCTCACACTGGCTCGGTACGATGAAGACTGGGACGTGCGTGACCGTGCGAGGATGTTGAGGGCACTTCTTGTTGGTGCAGTTGCGGGTGTCACGAGCAGTGATGACGAGGAAGGCATTGGGGAAAATTGGAATAGGGAAGAGCAGGCAGGAAGGCCGGGTGTGGTGTTGAGAAGGGAACAGGTGACACGTGTATTGTTCGAGGGAAAGACTGGGACGATTGAAGAAGAGCCAGTGACTGGTGAGTGTGTTTGCGAGTTCTGATTTTGTCGACGAAGGACTCGTTTATGATTATGACCTATATTCATCTTTCTATATTTTCCCTTCATGTCCCACTGAACTCAGTCCTCCGCAGACAATCGTCCACTTGGAACGCTATCCCTCGTGATGGAGAGTGAAAGTCTGCATCTGCATGATGACGACGATGACGAGACTGTGACAGATCTCCCCGAGTGGCTGGAACAGGGAATTGACCCCGCGTTACGTGATAGCGATGACGACGCACCCCAAGTTGCCTTGTCGTCGATGGCTCAAGCGATCTCATCCCAGGGAATCTCATCTCAACGTATGCCCACGCCTGCGGGTTCGACACCAGTTGTACTCACGCCCACAGGGGGATCGACACCAAAGGATACGAAGGACTGGAGGGATTTGAACAAGTTCTATGCAAGTGAGAGCGAGTCTGAGGATGAGGGGGAAGAGGGAATGGAAGAGGGGAGTGAAATTGATGAGGATAGTGATGAGGATGAGGAGACTTCGGAGGATGAGGAAGATGACGAAAGAATTGCAGAACATCATCCTAGTTCGAGTCACGAAAGATCACTGTAGCTGATTATCATTGAACCTTACTTTGGACTCACAACTCCTGCTTAGAATTTCAATGCATGTACCCCGAGGCACCAGATGACTATCTCCTTGCCAATCCATGCCTGAAGCGTGCCCCACCACAATAAAGAAGACATCTTATACGGTTCTCTTTTGAATGAAAGCATACAATTCACGATGCGGAGCAAGTTATCAGACGACCATGCCTTTTCGTATAGCATACACACGGTGTAGTAAAGATATCTAAGCCGAGATGGTGACTTCAACCTCGACACCAGGCTCCAAGCTGATAGAAGTCTTATCAAAGAATGAGGAACCAGTGATGCAACCAAAACAAATTCAGACTCACAATCTGCTTGACGACTTCGCTGGAGGAGTGCAAATCAATGAGACGTTTGTGCACCTTGAGCTCGTAGCGGTCCCAGGTCTTCGAACCCTCACCGCAAGGCTAAAGAACGCGAGAGTCAATGAAATGCAGGTATATCATATAGTTGTGATACTAACAGTCTTACGAGTGGTGATCTTAAGGACCTTGGTGGGGAGGCGGACAGGGCCCTTGACACGGAGCTGCTTGTCCTTTGCACGGTTGATGAGATCGGCAGAGACTATATTTGATGGTTAAGTAGGTGTTTGTGATAAGCTGAAGTGCACGAACATTTTTCCAAGTTCTTGACGTTGCTGCTCGTCAAAGTTATACGAATTTTATGAATTTTGGCAGCGGGAACAGCGCCTGCTGCGTCGTACTCCTTGTCCTTAGCGACGTAACTCATTCTGGATTACTTTCTTGAACAAGTCAGAGGTGACTAAACAGATTATTAGCAGCTTGAAAGTGAACGATACTCGAGATATGCGCACCTAAGGTTTGTGTGTTGATGAGAGAGATAATTAAGGTTTACTGAGATTGTTCATGTATCGGCAAACTCCGGAAGTTCCCATTAGGTTTCCTGTCCGAAACAGTCATGCAAGGCAAGTTGTTAGCGCACAATAGATCGTCAAACTAATCCTGCTCTCTTTCCAGGATTTAACAAGTATTATCCGCCAGATTACGACCCAGATAAACACCAGAGTTTAAATGCGTACAGAGGTATGCACAATCAATTTCCTGTGTATTGTTTCTCTCATGGTTCGCAGGCAAACATGCGCTCGGTGACAGAGCACGTAAACTCGACAAGGGCATACTCATAACCCGTTTTGAGCTCCCTTTCAACATCTGGTGGTATGCATTACAATCGTAGCATCTAGAAACAGCGATTTCTCAAGTCTGTAGTGGAACGTGCAACAACCACATTGGCATGGGCGTCCGGTATAATGCGGAGAAGAAGAAAGTCGGTGCCTACTATTCTACTCCGGTCTACTCGTTCCGCTGCAAATGTCATCTTTGCGATGGCTGGTTTGAGATCCAGACCGACCCGAAGGTGAGCCGAGCGTGGTTGGCCTTATTTCACAACGTTAATATAATACAGAATACTCGCTACGTAGTGGTATCAGGCGCCCGTCAAAAGGACGAAGATTGGGACCCAGAGGAGAATGGCGGGTTTGCTATTCACGGTATGTATTGACTTGCATATCCTTCATCATCGTCTTACAAAGGTTGCAGATACCGAAGGGAAAGCTGGTCCCGCGGATCCCCTTGCAGCGCTTGAGAAGACCACCGATGCCCAAAATCATGTCGCCAAGGTGCAAATACCACGGATTGAGGCCTTGCAGGGTGTTTCAGATCACTATAATAACGATCCTTACAAACTTTCATCTATGGTACGCAAGCGTTTTCGTGCAGAGAAGAAGATCGAGGCACAGAAGCGCGCCCATGACGACACGATCAAAGGCAAATACGGCTTACCGGAGGAGTTAAAACTCGTTGAAGATGATGCGGAGGCCAAGCATCAGGCACGGGACGAATGGGTGAGGGCTAGAATGGATCTTGAAGCAGAGAGAAATAGTAAGAGACCTCGCTTATTGACATCATCCGCATCTGGTTCCCAATCTCGGCCGACATTGGACCCCGTATCTTCTTTGAAGGCTCGCATCCTTGACAATACTCGGCGGTCAAGTACACTTGCAAGTAAAAGGAAACCTCCTGATCGAAAAGTACTTCTCAAGTAGATACGACGATATTGATAACGGACCACTGTACACTTCGTTCACGCAAAATTCATTATACTACTGCTGTCTAGATCAGCAGCTCATTAATTTCTACGTTTCGATGGTTTCGGAGCAAGATACGATAGCAAATCACAACAACATTAAGAAATACAGAGTGAGTGAGACACGAAACCAAGATACTAGTAGTATGGATGACAGGACGTAAGAGTTGACAAGTCTGATCAGTGTAACGGAGGGCATCACGGACGAGCGAGTATATCCAGCATATAAAAGAAAAGAAGATTCATAAATAAACAACAGAACAAACCAGGATTCCGCCCTATAATTCCTATCATGAAGTTTGGTAAATTGCCCACGGTTGGTCAAGTGTGGTCATAGGACCATCCCATTTCCAATCTGACGACTGGTAGTAGGCGGACTCGCCGCCGTCGATCTCTTTGAATGCCCCCATATGAAGGAGATCGAGTTGGTTGCTTTCCCTGGGATCCTCGATCTTAGCTTTGCCGGGGGATGAGGCACCCTGTGACTGATCAGCATCCGGGTTGGACTGCGGGCTAGGGTTCGTGGATGATGATGGTACAAGGTCGGGGGTAGGAGCTTTCGAGTCTTCCTCGTCTTCAAGAGTAGTAAAACGACTATAATCAATAAACTCGTGGAACTCCAAAAACGCGTCGTTAGGAGCCGCTGGAGGTGAGAGTTCCGAAGGTGGTCCACCGATACTGGAGGCGAAAGCAGAGGTCGTGATATGTGTTGGATCTTGGGCTGTGCCTTGTAAAATCCGGTCGAGAGTGTGAGCGATGTCGTCGTACACGCCGGCGTCTGTCGAGGCAGTCATGGCGACCAGCTCCTTCATCTTATCCATGAAAGCGTTTGCATCCTCGTCTGTATTGATATTTTCAACTTCCTGGTGCCTCTTGGCAAGTTCCTCGCTAGGCTCTCCCTCCCAATCTTCTGTCTTCACCTTCTTCGGAGATGGTGCACCCATAGACTCGGGCTGGGTAGAGGGACCCGCGGGAATAGGAACATCCTCGTCGGCTTGGCGCTTTACACCAGGGCTAAATGCAGCTGGGGTTTCAGACGGAGATGCAGTAGGTTGCTTGGGAATACGCTGGACCTTGCCCTTTGGTGGCTGTTTAGACTTGGGAGACTTTGGAGTTTGTGGGGAAGTAGCCGCTAAAGGAGTGGGAGCAGTGGAAGTCGTAGTTGCAGGTGGTGGAGTAGGTGACGGCACCGCATTTGTTGTGGTAATAGCCACAGGGACAGAGGGATTTGGGGGCACGCGCACAGGAGGTTTTTTGACCATGGGCTGTGATGGCTGGGGATGCGAAGGTGGGTGGGACTGGTTTGAGGAGGGATGACGACTTATAGTAGGGGGAGGTTGGAGGGTTTGAGAAGACGTGGGCTGTGACGGGGGAGGAGGTGGGGGCGGCCGATTTATATGAGGACCACTATGTCCACCGGTTTGTTGCGATGCGAGGACAGCTTTCATTATTTGACACCTTTGTTCGAACTCTTCGTTTGCCTTTTGTACTTGGCTATACATGCTCTTTAGGGTATGAACGCCGATTATGACTTGTGGTGACCCCACTGGAAAACGATTCCTTTGATGTGCCACCGTTAACACCTGGAAAGAAAATGTGCTTAACGCGACAAGATGCGGACACACGCAGAGCGCTTACGATTGCCACGAGCCTGCGAATCATGTCTTCCGATCTCAGGACAATCCAGTACATTGGTAGCCTTGTGTCAAGGTCCCGAGTCATTTTCTGAACCTGATCCATTAGCTGGTTGTACTCCATTCGCTGGTCATCTGGCACTGTGAGCAGTGGCATTGCTTGTAGTCCTGCACAGGAAGTCAGAATTTGGGACGAGAGTATGGACGTGACGAACCACGGGATGAGAAGAGTTGTTTCATATATTGGATTACGGACATTGCATGTGCGATCTGCTCCTGACTTGGTGGTAAAATTCCTCCCGACTGAATAGGCTTCATCTCCGTCATCGGTGATGATTGCATCCCATTGGGAATCATAAGTGGCTGTCCTCGCGGCGCGGGTACCAGGCCAGGACCAGCGGTTGACACCTGGTTCGGGAAGCCACCTTGATGTGCGGCGGACATATTCGACTGCTCACTGGGCCCCTCATGATTGGTCGCTTGCTGACTGGGCTTCGTGGCTATCAACCGGTGCCAACGTACTATGTCCGAACGGTGCCGGTCGATCAATACGACCGTCTGCTCTGGTAAACCACTTGCACGCATCTCACTAACACTCATATTGACGAAACGCACAGCACTTGCCATGGCTTGTGGGTTGAGAGGAGGACGCATGACGGAGTGGGCCATTTCCCCTGAGGTGCTTCCAGGAGCATTGTTCTGAGCGCCATTCTGTGACAGATTGTTTTTTTGTGCAGCGCGAGATCTAACGCTGATGACGAGCATGGTCTCGAAAGCCTGCAAGTGTTCTTTGTATGCATGAGCAAGCTGCTGGGCGATACCAGGGCCACTCTTAGCTGGCTCAGTATCCGTGCCTGGAAACTGTACGAGACCCATGCGACCGCCTATGATCGCCCAGTAATCACGTTGAGTGACCTAAGTCGTGAGTCCTAGTGAGTATGCTTCGAACGTTGCAAATTGTCGTGAGCTTACAAATTGAGCACCGCCTTCGCGAAAGACCTGAACATGCAGGCTATGCAAGTCAACTGAACGATTATCAGGTAACAGAACGTGCATGTTAGGCTCCACGTGGTGGTTCTTGCAAAAGGACGTGTACATAGCCTCGAAGTAAGGCTTGTCAAGATAGGAGACGCCGAGTGTCGATAGGTTGACCATTCTATTCGGGATCTGAGCATTAGCAACGGACTGAGCATTCAATTGGGGGCCCGTATTCTGTGACATCGTATTGGGTATGCCCGTAGGAGGCTGCTGAGGAGTATGACCAGAACGTGGGGGTACCGCACCCGGACGCTGCATTTGACCACCCTGTCCGGACAGTTGTGAATTCATGGGATGGGCCTGACCTGGCGTTGGAATCTGCGAAGGACCACTAGCTCCAGGGTTCATCCCAAAATTTGGAGCAGGGCTGGACGACTGTGACCAGGGTTGTTGAGGTGCTCCGCCGCCCTGGGTAACACCTGGTCGACCAGCAGTAGAGGCCATTGTACCTCTACAATACGTAAATAGGAAGCTTCAACCATATGTCGACCTGACTCACAGATGTGCTAGATTTCCTCCAAGCATGCCAGGGGTATTTGAAGCCAGCTGGATAGCCTGGTTAACTCTGAGGAAGAGAGTCTTGCGGTTCTGAAGCTCAGTGCGCATCTTTTCCAACTTCGCCGTCCAAACTTCGTCGGGGAAACCTCCCGTTTGCGCAAGTACGTTTTGGATGTTTTGCTCAAAACTGGTTATGGCCGCTTGCAAATACTCCCTCCTTTGCATTAGCTCTGCGAGGGTAGGTACCTTCGAGGTTTGCGGCGCCCTCATGTTTGGATGGCCCATTTGGCCCCCGAGAGGTTGTGCCGCCAGATGTGGAGAACTATGCATTGCATCAACATGAGTCATATTGGAAGATGAAAACATGTCCGAAGAATTCGGCGGACTAGAGCCTGGCTGTGTGCCCATCTGTTGCTGTATATGATGTGGCATTGCAGACTGAGGCGGATGCTGGTTTTGTTGATTGGAAGGACGATCCATGAGGTGCAGCGGACGGCTAGCCAGAGCCTGAATCGGATTGCCTGGTTTCATCTGTGGGGTATTCATAGGCATAGATGAGAAGTTGGGTGGTATGATGGAAGAGGGAGTGTTGGAGGACTGAGGGTCATGAAAGGACGAGGCAGAAGGAGGGACACGCTGGGCAGATGCAAGACCGAATTGCTGCTGAATCTGTTGGACCAAGGGACCTTGTGAGTGAACATGACTGAGCCCCTGGTTTCGAGCGAGATCTGCCATCTAATACATGAAGTCAGCACACGTAATTACGGAAACTGGACCTGAACAAGGCATCGACTTGACTAGACTTGGGAAGTATGAATATCAGAATAGCATAATTTATGATAACAGATACGGTGATCGATTAGACGAGGACAGTGCCCAAACCGACCATCAGTAACATGAGTAGGGGCGGGTCCTGTGAGCGAATGCAAATGTCGCAGAGGGGAGAACATAACTTTAGAAGATTGTAGGAGAAACTCACTTGTGAGTTCATCTGAGCGGAATTTGCATCACCATTGGGCTGAGCTCGATAGTTGTTCTGTATTTGAGTCCACATACGACTATGTTCGGGGTTAGGGAGCCCGGGGACCATCTGAGAGTCTGGTTGTTGTTGCTGTTGTTGCTGCTGCTGTTGAGACTGCTGTTGCATATGCTGCTGGGGGATAAAGTTTTGTAGGGGATTCATTTGGTACGGGGGTATGCGATCGGCCATAATGCAAGGTCGTAACCTTGCACCAAGATGGGTAATGCAAGTTAATGAGCTCTACGACGGTAACAGCGAGCACGACGTGTTCTGTAACGTCGTTGGCGGTGGCGCCTACGACGAGGGCACTGTTTAACGCAGTGGACGCTGTTTGGGATAGCGTGCAGCTGGGGAGATGCTGGCAGTCACAGTGGGAAGCAGACGGCGCTTCACACCATGAAGCGAATGCTCGGTTGGCCTGTGCTTAGCTCGTGGCCGTCGGACTTTCAATCTTTATTATTTTTTATCATTCAAATTCGTATTTTCAATTGCCACATTCCCTAAAAATATTCATTTCCTAGCTTATTTCCTCCAGCCCTTCTCCGCTTCCCATCCGCGAAATCCCTCCCGGAAGTGCTGTTAGCGATGGGTGAAATTATTTCGATGATTAATTTCATTAATTCACTATTTAATTCCACTCCGCGAGAACTAAGCTTCAATCGGCTTTTGCCGTGCCTCAGGTATGCCTGTTATCTCCACCTCAACGCACTCGGGCCCTGTCGCAACCTACGCCGTCGAGCTCGAACCTTACCTCCAATTAAACGTGTATGAAGTAAATGCACATAATAAAACCTCAAGGCAGTTAAGGCGACCTTATATATACTTCGGAAACTTGCGAGCACAATCCGATTTCCTTGTACCACATTCAGTCAATTTTGTAAAATCAGGAACAGAAATGCTTAACCCTTTGTGGTCTGCTACTAATTAATCATCATGGCTGTTTCTCCTTTCCACGCACGAATTGCTGTCGAGAGCAGTCTGTCTCGGTCATCGTGCCTCCACAAGATGCTTCGGTTTGGGAACCGCTTTAAAATTGGATATTGAGCTACGTCTGCTGAAATGGAATGTGGTGTCAACTGTATGGTTTAGTCTTGCGTTAGACTCTTGTTTTCGATCGGATTGGCAGGCCTAACAGTTGGCACCGTGCCATCGAGCCGCCAGCCCTGGCTTTGCACGGGCTATACATCGCAACGTCTCGAGCTTGGCCATATCGGTGCATAACCCGATAACTATGGAGAACAATCCCGGCATTCACTCTAGATGCCTAGACAATCGTTAGGTTCCGAAATAACCAGTTATTTCAGTGCCTGCAATGAGGCTTTCAGCCTGGCGCCCGAAGTTTTGCCGCACGAGTGCTTGGGGGTATCCCGTGGAAAAGGAGCCCCGATGTCGAATACGGTCTATTTGCGTCTAAGACTGATGTGGTATTTAAGGTAGCACGTTCGTGATAATCTTCACTTCAGGGTCTTCGTAGCATCCGTCTCTAGCTAACAGACAAATCAAGGGGCGAGAAGCTATGTTCCTGTCATGCCGTCTCAGGGAAACAACACAGGGGCATGACTCCAACAGCGCCCAACAGCGGTTTAAATCGCCTAAATCGTTGAAGTTCGCGATCTGCAGGGGGGCGTCACCCTGCTAGTCGTGTTCTAACCACGCTCCAGGGTGAACTTTAACTATGTACACACATGCATGAAGTTATTGCTTTCCCAAATTTAAAGCTGCCCAATGCATCAACAAAATTTGGTGCGGGTCAATCATTTATTGTAGATCTGGCATCACGATCTTCATGATCAACTCCGTTCTACTGTTCTTGCGAAAATAGTATATCAGGGTCAAGACATGCCTTGTCAGGCAGTGGGGGAACATAGGCAGTAAGCTTTGCAAGCTTGCAGTCCGCGGGTCCCTGACGCCACGTCTATGCAATGCCGCGATCGAGCAAGGTCCTTCCGCTGGTCGAATCGTAACTGACCATTTTGGACGGTATCTGTAGATACCGTATACCATCTCAGGCCATATTCAATCCCTCGGGACGCGCGATAAGCACCTGAATTGTAGCATCCATTTATGAGGCAATGAGCATGACAATACCAGGTGAGCTCAGTGAAGGTGTGCTTCTTAAGAAACAACATTGGACGTACCTAGGCTGTGAGTACTGGCGAGTGAAACTCGGAGCAACTGCATGCTACTGTTAACCTAACATATCACAGAAACATCATCTACTAGATACTTGCTTAGTAGCAATCCCTTCAAATATTGGTATTCAGACCGCGCGTCACGGAAATTTAACCATGATGCAAACTTCAATATTTGAGGGAACTGTACTCGCCTTCACATCGGAGCTTCAAGTTGTACGGGGAGAAACCGTGGTAATATGAGACATCGATACTTGAACGGTTGCTTGCAAGCGGTTATATCGCGACAATGTTGAAACGCTTCAAAGTATTGAGTCTCGCATGAGATCTAGACGCAGTAATCTGGCTGGTAAGCAGATAATGGCACATGTATACATATTACTTATACGATCCAGATACAGTCTAAATATAGAACTACCAATGTGATCAGTAGATGACATGGGGAGAAAACGGTAGGAATACAAGCACACAGCGAAACTGCGCGTCATCATGTTATAGGAGGTCAGTATGTCTACTGCTACGACCTTGTTGTGCGGGCTCATCGGATGCTTTGATAACGATGGCTGGGCCTGCTTCTAGAATAACATCGTCTTCGTCTTCGGAGTACACGTCAGTCTCTTCGTCGGAAAGCTCAACCAATGGTGCTGCTCTTGTTTTCTTAACTCGAGTTCTTGGACCAGCCGCTAGGATGTGATCCTCGCTCTCTTCAGAAAACTCTTCTTCCAACCCTCCTTGCTCCACGTCGGCCACGGAAGCAATCTCGCGCTTGAAATAGTAGCGTAAACCCACCGGTATGAGGACGCCCACTACCACCGCGGACAGTAGGAAGAAGTTGCGCCACGAAATGAGATGGAAATCCGCAGCAGATGTCATCTCATCTAGACCGCCTCCAATCGTCGTGTGTATGACAGTTACGCCAAAGATACCCAGCCATGTACTGATCCAGAAGGGCACGATGCCAATGCCGACGTGGGGACAGATTACGTTGACGACCCAATGCGGAGGCAGGGGAGCAATGCGAAGGACAATTAAAAAGGATACGGTGTTGTCTTTCTGTGCGCGTATCTTGTCCGACCACTTGTCTAGGCGGGCTTTCCACTTTGGTACGGTGAGAAGCGCAGGGCCAAATGCAGCGCTGATGAAGTAGCACAAAGTTGCACCAGTAGCAACACATGTACAAGCAAGTGGAAGCGCACGCGGCACACCCCATACCGCCCCACCAAGTATAGATAGATACATCGACCCCGGGAGAGAAAATGCTTGTAGGCTAAAGGAAATGTCAGATTGTCTACTTCATGGAGAGAGTAGACCTCACAATAAATATGTTATGGTATAACATATTACGATGCGGAACGGGTAAATGTCACGGTATTTTTTCAATATGACATTGAGAGCCTGTAGTTCAGCAAATGATTTCGGTATACGGAGTGACGGCCGGTCGGCTCTGCTATTCGATAAGATATGCTAAACAAGAAGGAAGTTCGAGGGACATACTCGTCAAGGGTGGGAAGAGTCAGCCACAGAGTTCCACCCAGGAGGATCGTACTGAGTATAAACACAGCTGCCATCCTAATGGCTGCCTTGAGTAATAATCTTGGGGAGGATGTGTGGGGTGCCTGCGAATGTGTAGGAGTTGCTCCATAAATTGAGCCAGCTTCAGAATCTGGTGCAAGGAGGGGAGCTCTATCGTTTGCAAATTCCACAATTTCAGAATCATCTGAATGGACGGTAGCAAGAGTGTAGGCTGATGCATTTTGGTGGTGCATGACTCCGAGCGATGAAGGTGAGGGCATGGTTCCCCGACGATGAGAACTCAGAGCACGTACCACAAACTATATGAAATTATATAAATTATATTAGAAATATGTCATACACAACTTAGCTAAATACGTGGGAATATTATGGCATTTTCCACAAAGCACGGAGGATGATTAGCCAAGTACTTAGCGCGCTGAGCTCGTGCTGAACAACGAACGACAGGTGTCTACAGGCCCTGCTCATCGTCCAGTACAGCGAGCAAGATGACTCACATCCTGCCTCCGCACACTGACCTCAATCTTGTACCATCGTCTCTTCATTCAGCCCTTCATATGGACCCAAATCAACAGCAACAGCAACTTCAACAGCCTAATCAGCCTCATCAACAACAGGCGCCGACAACCTCCAAGAAGAGAGGACGAAAGGCGGACACAAATTCTGATGACGCTGGTTCACCGTCCGAACCAAGACGGCTCAGACGCTCCCATGAGGCTTGCGCACGATGCAGGAGCAAGAAAATTAAGGCAAGTCCCGTCGGTAGACACCGACCGCAAATCTCCGTCCGCCTGTTCAGCTTCTCTTCTGACACAGTGATGAATTATACAGTGCGACTCGAAACATCCTAAATGTACAGCGTGCGCGACTGCCGGTGTCCCTTGCCAGCAGGAGGATAGGCATAGGCAGACCCTCACTCTTAGAGGTCACACCGAGTTCATCGAGCGCCAGATCGCTCAATGCGATGCTCTCTTGAAACGCCATATTTCTGATTTCAGTATGGCCAACCTCGACGAGATATGTCGGAGGGAGGGCATTGAGGTCGACGGTCATCCCGCCCCTGAATTCGCTCAATCGAGCCCGCAATTCCCACAGCAACCGAGTGGCCCTCCTCCCGGGGCGATTTACGGACCTCCTTTCGTTCACCCCGCATATCCTTACGGTGTGCCTATGCCGCATGGGTACCCATCACATATGCCGATGCCAGGACCCCCTGGCGCTTACGGACCTATTCATCCTGGGTTCCCCCCTCCCCCTCCACAGCATATGCAGGCCCCGCCCCAGGTACAACAACAACCTCAGCCACAACCACAGCAGCCACATCCAGTCCCGCCTCCAGTTATAGCTGCTACGGCCAATGTTGAAGTCAAAGGTCAAGATCCCCAGTCTTTGGATATGTCAACTACGAGGGTCGGTTTTTTTGTGACCTTCGTGCCCTCATTGTTCATCTTCACTGATAGGCACTGGCCAAGAGCTTTGGTGTTCACCCCCTCATCGTGAACGACAGTCACCTGGGTTCAGGTGACAAGGAAGATCTTGCGGTTGGTTCAAATGGCTTATCATCGGGGCGTGATCGTGGCATCACGGAACAATCTATGCCCCGTGATCTTACAAAATGGATCTCTATTTCTGTAGCCACCAGCAATACTGGTGGCTATTCTACAGTATCCACCTCCACACTAACACTATGGATGCCCAAGGATCGCTCGTTGGCGAACAAGATCGTGGATGTTTACTTCAACCACCTCAACGTGCACCGCCCTGTCTTCTTCCGGTCGGACTTTGAGCACAAGTTAAATGCGCTTTACGACGGGGATAATGTACAACATGATCCAGGCTTTATTTGCAGCATGTACCTCATTCTGGCACTTGGGACATTGAGCGAGTTGAATCATCAAGGGAGTATCATTGATAAGGACAAAAAGACGCCCAGCGATAGTCCGATCAATACCAAGAAGCTGCTCCCTACTATATGGCCTGAGCATGATGAATTTTTCGAGCGTGCGCTGGCCGTCAAGCCTCACCTACGTGTCACGATCTCCAGTCTTCAGGCACTGCTCTTGTTGCACTGGTATCTGTACACCGAGGTATGTCCATTCTAACTTTCCATGACGAGTTTTAATATCGCCATCGATTATCAGCGACAAGGCCGCTCCCTTTGGCGTTTAGTTGGAAGTCTTGTTCGTCTTTCAATCGAACTTGGTCTGCATCATGATCCCACGGCGCAGCCCAACACCTTCACAGATGAAGAGTGTCAGCTACGTATCCGGCTTTGGGGAACTGTCATGGTGCATGACCGAGGCACTTCCATTCTTCTCGGACGTCCGCTTGCCATTGCTCCCTATGACTCCAACACGCCTCACCCCACACACGGACTCAAGGGCCAGAATGCTGATTTCTCTGAACACTTCCTTCTTTCTCACCCCATCGCAGAAATACAGGCGGACATCATCAACTCTCTATACGCTCCCTCACGGCAGAGTGCTGATACTATCATGAGGCACGCAACTAGGATCATTAAAAGTATGCTTGAGTTCAGGAGACAACTCCCCGATAGCTACAAGTGGTACTTTGGAGGAACTGAAGATTGGCCTTTGGAGAGGCGACAGAAGCTGGTCCAGGACATTACAGAAGATCAGGGACTGACATTGCTCAAATTCGGTATCTCAAGGATCTTACTTCTTCGTGCCCTGTTCAGTCTTAAGGAGCTCGACTACAACCACCGTTCGAAGGCACTCGTCGATGGTACGTTCTCATCATGTGCCATTTGCCATTTTTTGATGATTCATTCACCATATTCAAGCTATTGTCACGTCACACAACATTATCATCTTCCATAATCAGCTCATTCGTTTCCCCGACATCGCCTTTTTCGTTTCTCCCATCCCTCTCCATATCGCGGCAATGGTTATCCTCTACGGTCACATGTCTCACTGTGAGCGCCTCCCACGCCAAGTGATGATCGAAGACGTTTGGATGGCACTTGACATGCTTCCACGCTTCCGTTGGCGTTGGGAACGAAAGGACTTGAATGGCGGGCACCCTCTTATCTCCAAGCTCGCTGAGAAAGTTCTTAACGTCAACCTTCGCACAGTTGGACCCACCAAAGATCCTGTCTTGCTTTCTGAGCTTGATTGGGAGGCAGATTCACCTGGGATGCTCTCGTCGCCAGCGTTGAGTGGTCAACAGCAATTGCGCGTGCATCCGGGGACTCCCACAATGTCACACCCATCCTACTCAAATGGCGGTGTTGGGCCCGGTGTTTACGGTCCGCTTCCGCGTGGTGTCACTGTAAGCACGAACCCTGTTAAAGGGCTTCAAGGATCTGTGGGTAATGGTACTACGCAGGACAAGCTCGCAGAGGTACCCCCTGGGCTATTCTACCCTTTCTATCCTGAGAATCCGATGAGCGCTACCCCCGGTACCGTTTCTGGCCCTCATAGTGACGCCGGTGTTACCAGTGGAGATTCTGGTCAGGACCCACAGGGTTATGGTCACCTGCTGGCGGCGGCGGCGCAGCCAAATGGGACATACGGGTGCCAGCCATCGTCGGATTCATACATGCTTGAAGAGATTGTACCCACTCATGGTAATCAGGTGTGGATGAATGTCGTCAGTCGTTGATACCGTTTTTTCACTTGCTGTTGCTGAATCATCCGTTACAGGGCCAGAGGTCTATGTCGTTCGCGCATCAAGCTTAATCACCTTATCCATGTATTGTAGTTGTTCGCTCTCTTTCCCGTTTCTCAGCTCTCACGCTGAAGACAGTTCTTATGAGGCTCTCTTTGTATTCCTTTTTATGAACCTAAAATGGTTCTTTGTTCAAATTTTACATTTTGATTCAGGCCTTTCCTCGTTTGTGTCTTCGTCGTTGTTCTGTCCCTTTCGTCTTAGTCAAGTCCGAAATCCACGTATTTTATCCTGATGCCTGAACAGTAATATGTGGGAGTGTACGATTATGCGATGTAGGATGATTGATTTGATCATTTCAATATTAATGGCGTGTGGTATGAATATATGCATGAGGCGGAAACGTCAGGAGTACTGTCTGTAAAAGTAGTCTATGCGCAGATTAGCAGGAAGGGATGGTCATCTCCGGAATACAATGTAAAAAACAAAATGAAACGCGCATTTATAACTGTCAGTAAAAATCTGTGTTTGAGGAAAGCAAAAGTCTATCCAAGGGTCCGTTCCATACGGTCCAGGACTACGTCGATGCCCCTGATGAGAAGAACGACACGCCGGGGCAGTAGGGCGAATTTATTTGTGTCCTTGACGCGGTCGTGGTGAGTAGGATGAGCAGAGGTGGGATTGGTGTATTGAGCTTGCATGGCATTTTCGAGGATAACAGGTAGGGAGATGGTGATGCGTGTTAGTTTGATAGTGAGCCGTGATCTACCAGCAATATCAAAGTAAGGAAGCTGGCGGAAGGCGCTTTGTATCTCGAGGGCGCGACAGAGTTCGCCGTGGAGGGCAACAACGCAGGTGCGGCAGGCTATTTTTGACGATGTGAGATTGATTATACATTGTGTGACAGGCGATTTACTTAAGACACGTTCGCGGACACTCAGGAGGACCGAAAGAACAGAGTTTACACCGTCGTCACCCAATTCAAGCGATGGGTTTAGGTCACCGATAGCCCCTGAAGGTAGAGACATGAGTATGTGATACACGCAAGTAGATATGTGCTTACTGAGTAATGTGCGTATCATCTCGAAATCACCTTCGAGAAATTCGCTGAAGACGCTCAAGAGGACACCTTTCAATGTTTCGTCCGCATGGGGCGAGGACTGGGAAAAGAAGTCATATTTGGGGTGTGAGTATGCAGGACGGGAGTCGTAAGTGCGTTTCGAGGACGGATTGCTGAGGACATCGTATGCAACGGAGACCTTTTGGAAGGCAGACGTCGCATCAGAATTTCCAGGAAATTTGCTGAGTGCAAAGTGAAAATGAATTGTTACTAAAAGTGACGAGCAACATACTCTGGATGACAAGCCCTACTTCGAGAAAGATAGGCGCGTCTTATGGTCACCCTGTCGATTGTTGAGGACCTAGGGACACCCAGAATACAATACAGGTCGTCACTGGAGAGGACTTGAAGCATTTCTGGGGTGTAAAATCTATCATCACTTGGTGAAGATTTTAAAGTGTCGCAAGATTTTTGTTCTTCCGCTGATGGATGGGGTTGTGGTGACCATGTAATATGTTTTGGATGGATGGACACATTATCTGTTGCATTGTGTTCATCGTCCGTGGCCTGGAGATGAAACAAGGAGGATGCTACGGTTGCGCTGTCAGTATTGCTTGTCCTGGTGTAACTTTGACTGACCTGTCGAAAAGACATAGGAGAACATCATCGCTCGTGAACATGCATTGTAGGCCTGGAAACATATGTGACGCAGTGAGAAAATGAGAAAACGTTCTCCAATCTTATCTCTTCTCGTCGGCGATAGTCAAATTTCAATTAGACACGTGCGGTAAACCATACGTAATTTAATCTATATCACTTGAGCTTGGAGATCGGCACAAAACTTCTTGACCGCTACTGGAATCGGTTTGCGATTCAACTCGTATTTATCTCCCATGATGGTGAGCCTTATGGACGCATCTCGCATAAAAGATGTATCTCCTTTGAACAGTGTGAGGTCGTACCGACCAAATGCCCAGTTCAAGATCCAAATCGCAGAATCTAGACGAACAAATCCCTTGACCCGCCAAACGCTCTCCTTGTTTAGAGAGGCGAGAGCACTTTCGAGTATACCCTTATCCACATCCACCTCAGCATGCGAGGCGCATGATTCTCTATCGTGATGTTCATGGTTGTGGCACGTCGGGAGGAATCCTCGATATGCCGTGAGTGTCTTTACTTCATCATGATGATCTTCGATACCCTGGGGAATTGGATCTCTGACAAGCTTGGAGTCGATGCCAAAAAGAACGTTTGGGTCTACGCCGTTACGACCATTGCATTTGATCTTGGGTGTGTCGAGATTGAGGGTATTGAGATTATCGATCAGTATGTCCAGGGTGTGATCATCGAGATACTCGTGCTTGTTCTAGGCACTTGAATAAGATCGCCTCATTATCATGGGAGAAAGACACATACGATAAGAATGATATCCGAGTAGCTTGCCTGCATCTTGGCTGTGGGAGACGTATCTTCGTACCCCGTGAAGTTCTCGGCATCAATGACGGTGACTATCGCGTCAAGTCGAAGGTCATTATTTGTCTGTCGCTCAAGCTCACGGATCTGGAACGCCAGTGTGGCGGGAAAAGCGGATCCTCTGACGAGTGAGTACCAAGCTAGGGGGATTTGAGTTAACTCACGAGCATTCAATGATTATTCGGTCAGGGCGGTATCTGTCTGGTAGATATAAGTGCTATGAGATCAAGTAATATCGAACTGCAAGTACCTCGGATCTCACGAAGGGCTGTTTCTATCTGGCCGACGAGTACGCAGCACCTATGCATGACATGGTCGGTTGGGAAATGCAGTAAGATGATGGTGAAGCGTAGACACACATGCAGCCATTCAAAATCTCACTGACGGCAGTCAAACTGGATTGCTTAGCCAGCTGGCTATCCACTGTGAAAGGTATCATATATTCCCTCCAAAGCCCCGATGATCGCAGCAAATTATGCACACCTTGGACGTCTCCGAACTCATTCTTAAGCAAAACCACTTTATAGTCCTTTGGAAGTAGCGGAAGGAGTGATAAAATGATGGAGGTCTTTCCTGCGCCGAGAAATCCAGTGAAGATAGTGATTGGTATATGGGGTAGTTGTCTTGAATCCATGTTTCTATGTCAGCTTGGGCATCGATCTGACAGAATGTGTGTTTATATTTGGCCGCCATATTATTGTAGTCACGTGACCGATCGAATTTCGACATATCGTCACGCGTTGCACGCCGCCACGAAACACGTTTCGTTCTACAGGCAGTCTACAACGTTGAACTAGTACCGGCCATGGCGGGTCGCAAGCAGCCACCTACTAGCGCACCTGGTATGAAAGCTCAACGACTTGTTATCAATGCATCCCATATCGCTGTGACGCATACATACCTTGCGCTCGCCGCGTTCGGTCTTGCCTTATTTCTCGGCTGCGCGCTGCATTACGAAAAAATCGTGAAGAACGGGGTTGCCGGATACCCTGACGAGTGGTTTCCGTCAGTCTCAGCCACGTATGTGCATTCAAGTTCTGTTTGCTCGAATGTTGAACCCGATGTGCTTGTACCATAGTATCGGTGACTGGTACCCGGAGCGTAATATTTTTCAGATTCTCATCGCTTTGACGTCTGGTCAGTTAGATGACTTTGCTTGCGCGATGCGTTTATGATGATTACACATAGGTCCACGCTTCGCCCTTGTATCTTTGCAGTATTTCGTCAGGCGCTCGCCAAGCACCAGTTGGCCGGGTTTCTTGTTCGCTGTGGGTATCATTCGGACACTGATGTGCGGTGGTTGGGTGTATATCACGTCCAACGATGACCATGATATGCATGATCTTCTCATGATTACATATATCCTGTGCAACGTGCCATGGATGTGGGGAGGCGTCCTATGTACTCCATTTGGGCACGTGAAAGCACGTCAGCAACGGTAAGGATTATTTTAGGATACATGCATGCATCTGCTGACCAATAGTCTATAGCCGATATCTTGCGACAGGGTTAGTGAGAATATTGAGTCTCCTAGTATACATGCAGCTTATGTTCTGGGAATAGGTTCTTCGTATTAATCATACCCATGATTTATTTCTTCGTTCAACACAAGATATACCGGATTCCTGGAGGTCGTAGTTGATTTTCTCAGCGCAGCTAGGGCTGACAATCATGACCAATCTAGCGTATACCCGCTATTCATTTTTCGAGTGGTCCCTGATCTTGCTCGATGTTCTGTTTGACTCGATCACAGAGCTTGACTTCAAAACCTCTAATTTGCAGGTACATATGAGCAGGCATATACCAGATGCTTGATATTGACTTTTTATCTCCCAGATTGTGCTCAGTGTTTCGTTGGACGCCAAAGTCGGGCGTGATGACATGTATAATCAAGTACAGCACCTTGTATAACCATCGTCTGACATGCTACATAGATCGCATTCCGCACCATCCAAAGGGTCAGATAGTGTGACTGAAACAAAATTAGAAGGGTCAGCCGCGTCATCAGAAACCAAGCAAATGGCCAGCCATGTATCAGGAGCTGTGCCTCGGACATTTTTCCAGAAAATCCAGGCTGCACTTACGCTTTCTCTCGATGCGCGAGCAGCTATAGGTTTCATCTCAGATGTGTATTTGTGTGCGTGTCGTGGTTCAACAAATCACAGAGTCATATCAAATTTACCACTTTTGCAGCTTACTTGTTTTGGTCCATCTTCACTTCCCTCATCACCACGCTGTTCTATTTTTCTGTCTGGCAACTTGCGCTCTCAGGTTCGGAGTTGTCTTTGCTCTGTCTGCTCTCCCCTGCGCTTTCGGGCATCAGGCCGTTGCGCACTTGGGCGCTTACGCGCAGTGGTCGGGTCACGTTAAAGGCGGTGGCAATTCTGACAGGCTTGGGGTCTTATATCTTGAACAGCCCCATGCGAAGATTGTTTATGGTCAACTTTGCGAATGTGGTGCTCCTGATAGGGCAGACCGTGGACTGGTCAGCTGGGAAGGATGGGTATCAGGGTTTGCGTGAGTATCAATCGCGTAGTGTAATAGTAGTGACGGCTAACATGGCGTAGTCCTTGGTCTAGGACTTGTATTGCTTTCTCTAGCAAAACACGCGAATCATTCAACAAATCCTGGTATGTTGTTTCAGATGAGATACACTTTCAGTTTCTCTAACCACTTCGAAGTATGGCCGATGCTCAATGAGCAGTCTGGAGGGTACAACAAAACAGGACTTTTTCTAGCACTTTGCGCGCTATATGAGCTTGCTACCCGCCCGTCCTGCCGTTCCAGAGGAAGAAAAACAACTAAACGATTCAAAAGATAACAGCAAGGTTACCTCACACGGATGGCTTGCAGGCTCCATTGCGCTCGGCAGCATGATCTTCACTCTCCATTGCTTCTTCATAGACCCCAGTACTATCATTGCGTGGTCTTGGACAGGATACAAAAACAGCCAACCCAAAGGCCCTCTGCCACATCTCCACGGCTCTCTCACTTTGATTGCGCAGGCTATAGGTCTCGCAATGCCTACAATTCTCCCTGCATACTGGCTGAGTAGTCCATTATGGTTCAGCTATGGTTGCGCAAGCGCATTCATGATGTACCGCTTCAGGGACTGGACGGGCTTCGTTGGCGGGCTGAACTTGGCGGTGTTCGTTATGTCATTGCTCCCTAGAATCATTCAACAATCTGCCCAGCCGACTAAGGCTGGGAGGACATATTTCACAGCATTCTTCGTCACGGTTCTATTCTACCTTGCCGATGTGTGGACAGTCGCCTATGCGTTCGTACCAGGGGGTCCGTACTTGCGTGAGCGCTCGGACTTGTAAGTTCTTTGCCATAAAAGTCCGTTTTCGTCGCTGAAATGCTCAACCATAAGGGTCCTCATCACGCAATTTGTCGCAACGTCGCTAATATTTGAATGGCCATCAAGAAAAAGGACTGCAGCTAATACCATAGTTCACATGCCAAGCTCAGCGAGTTCCCTTGCTCGTTGTCTTCTTACACTTTTCTCGTTGTCTGCTGTCCTTGTAACAATATACCGCTGGACTCCTGTTGGACCAAGACCCTATAAATCGGGCACGGGGATAATCAACGCTGGAATATGGACGGTGCATTTCGGGATCGACAATATCGGGCACGACAGCCAAAGGCTGATCCGAGATATCATAAGGCAAGGCAATTTAATCAAGCTCTTTTGCTGCTGACATTGCTATAAAGAGATATGGAACTTGACGTAGTTGGCCTTTTGGAGACTGATCTGCACGTGAGTTACAATGCCAATCAATGAGTTGCTGGTGTGCTTACTAGTCGTAGCGGACAGTGTACGGAAATCGTGACTTGTGAGTGTGTTATGTCCTCTGGACGAGCTCTGGGCTCATCCTCTCATATCAGGACGCGAGTCGCTCTCCAAGACCTCGGATATGTGAGTTTTCCTTCAGTGCAACCATCCAGGGAAATGACCACACCAAATTTGAGTATGTCGACCTGGGCCCAGGACCTAACATGCATACGTGGGGTGCTGCTCTACTTTCGAAGGTCAGTGTGTAATGACTCCTTTTAAATCGTGCTCACTCCCCTTAGTTCCCTATTGTTCACTCGCAGCACCACCTCCTACCCTCACCACATGGCGAGCTCGCGCCAGCAATCGAAGCTGTGCTTGACGTGTATGGGACAGAGGTAACTGTAGTCGTATCACATAACGGGCAAGGTACATTCGGCACAATTTTTTTTTCAGTCGATCGTTCTTGCTTATAATGTCTTTCATCTAGAGCAAGACCCGCTCGACCGTGAATTGCAGAGCATGGACCTCGCACGCATCATGGCAAAGTCGTACCCTCAACCCGTTATCTTCCTTGGATACGTAGTCACAAAACCGCATGCTGGTAGACGTGTGTGGCTTCCATGTCCTTTGTTTATTTTAGTCCTAATGAATCCTACAGCGGCGCCCTACGAGATTTTGGTGCACGATGGTATCGTACATGACATTGACCCGCAGGACTGGGATCGCTGGTGGGTGCTCTCTCATTATGCCACCAACTGATGATAATAAAACACAGGTGCGAGTACATTTTGTATAGGGGGCTTTACCGGACTGCGTATGCTCGCGTCTCGCGAGGCATCGTTACCGATACAGAGCTACAGATTGGACAGTTTGTCGTTCCCCGACATGGCTTCCAGCTTGTGAACCAGACACTCGAAGACCGAATGCTAAGGGCATGGAAGGAGGATCTTCCGGAGGATCATGTGCGGCCTAAGTATTATCTCCTGGTTGCTTTGTGTTGCTAACTGCGTGACAGTGGTTCCCAATGGAATACTATGGCAACGAGGATGAGGGAGGTATGAACGGGCATTTTTACCACGTGTTTAACACTGTGAGGCTTCATCCCGTTGCAGACACGTCTCACATACTGATACTGTGATAGCCGCTGTATTATAAATTTCCTGAGGGTGCACAGGTTTAGGGGTGTACCAGTGTAGTTGATGCATCTGTATTTTTATTTTTGTTGTGTTTCACTGTGGCTCTTGCACTCTGCATCTCTCATCTTTATCATATTGTGCAACTTCTGTGATGTTCAGATGTCCTGTGCTCTGATTCCCAACCTAGCTTGTGCTTTGTGTTTTTCACTTTGGATGTCAGCTTTTTGAAATACTGCAGGACAATAAAGCTCATTAGGTTTTTTTATATCCAATTTTTGTCCAGTTTCTGCAGAACAGAGGCAAGTGAGCATGTGGAGAAAGAGCTATAGGAGAATGTATTATCTCAGTCTCAGTAAAAGGACTCTGTATGTGAGTAGGCACCTATAGGAGAATGTATTCTAATATTTTTGTTAGCTTATTAACAAAGGGAATAAAACTATAAGGCTCACATCTCAGTCCCAGTATGTTAAGACTATACTCAAGGGGCAACTAGAACTGAGGGGCTTGGCCTCAGCTTGTGCACTGTGCCCCTTACTTGAGTACATGCCCTTAATTTCAGATGAAGTCCTGTAGGTCCAATGAAGTCCAGAGGACTTCCAGATGCAGGCTACTCTTAGTGGAGTGCCAATGGACTTCCAGAGGAGTGTGGGAAACTCTGGAGGAGTCTTGTCTGGTGGGTGGGAAGAAGTCTACAGACTATACAGGATAAGTCCCTAATGGAAACTAATGGGGGAGAGGCTGCAGGGGACAAAGTCCAAAGCAGGGTAGGATAGGAGGTGTGGTCCAAAGGATAGGAGGAGTGATCCAGAGGATAGGAGGAGCAGGAGAAGTGGAGGAGTGGAAGAGAGGGTCCAGAGGACCTGGGATCCAGCCTAGGGGATCCACCCCTAGGCTTGGTGGAAAAAGTGGAACTTAGGGAGACTGAAGTCCAAAGACAGAATGCACAAGTCTAAGATGATATTTGAACTAAGGAAACTACAGGGGTTCTACAAGAGTTTATATACTTGTTAAGGTCGTACTCAAGGCTAAATGGATCCAGAGGGCTTCAGCCTCAGCTCGTGTGCTGTGCCCCTTACTTGAGTATTGCCCCTTATTTCAGGAAGGCAAGACTAACACATCCAGAGGGTCGGATGGGTAGTGTAGTGGATCTGGATGACTTCCAGATGCGGGATAAGTATTGTAAGGCTAATCCAGACGAGTTGTCATATCTGCATATCTGGATCTCAGGTCCAATCCACATCTTATCTCTGATCCTATCCACATCTTATCTCTGATCTTATCCACATCTTATCCCCCTCCAACATCTCATCATCCAATCAGTCCACTTGTCCAGGTCCGATCCACAGTTCATCCGAATCCACAACCAGCGCTCATCTCCTTTTGGTAATCCCCTAACTCTGGTATTTTGGCTATCTGTATATCTGTCCTGCTCCCTGATCCATTACCTATGTTTCATTTCCATTTCATGATTTGTGATCTGTTTCTACTTACCAATAGACTATCCATATGCTTCATACATAGCCTTGGACTCTGCTGATTGATCATTCTGTTAGATACCTATAGTATATAACCTCCTGTAACTCTCCGTAGCACCTCAGTTTGAATATCATCTTAGTTCTACTCATTCCTGTCCTCTGGACTTGAGTATCTCTACTCTCATCACCCTCTGAGACTTAGGATTGATTCCTATAGTCTATCTGTATCTGCCTCTGTCTCCGACAGTCCATTACCATTAGTTTCTAGTCTGGATTTGTCCAGATTAGCCCTACAATACTTATCCCTCATCCGGAAGTCATCCAGATCCGCTACACTACTCGTCCGACCTTCCGGATGCATTAGTCTTGCCTTCCTGAAATAAGGGGCAATACTTGGGTAAGGGGCACAGTGCATGAGCTGAGGCTGAAGCCCTTCAGATCCAGTTATCCCTTGAGTACAACCTTAACAGTATATTTGAACTCACACCTTACCGAGTATATTTACACTTCCTATGGCTCCAACCAAAACTGCAAACACTCTCCAAGCGGCCAGGTTAGTATCTGCCTGCTGTGATTCCACTCCTATCATCAAAACCTTCAATAGCTTCTCACAGTGTCGTGTTAGCCAGCGCACTACTGCCAGAAGCATCTCAGAACTTCTGAGTTGTCAACATCCAGAGACCCCTACATGGACTCCAGCCCTAGCCCCTCTGGGCCAAAGAGATCCAGATGATGATGACATTGATCATGATACCCCTGGCAGAAACCTGCCAGATGGTAATGGTGGAAATCCGGATGATGATCTGGATGATGAAGACAATGATGATAGAGATGATGGCCTGGGTCCACAGGATCATGTTATGGTACTCCTATCCAGAGCTATCAACAATCTTGCCTGAAACAATCATCACACCACCCTCCCCGAAGATCCTAAAGTCAAGGTCTGGGAGCCGGATGTCTTTGATGGCACTGAGCCCCGGAAACTTCGTGCATTCTTTGTCCAGTGTGAGCTCAACTTCCAGAGCAAACCCAACACTTTCCATACTGGAAGGTCTAAAGTCAATTTTGCCCAATCCTATCTCAAAGGAATGGCCCTTGAATGGTTCGAACCTGACCTCCTTTCTGACAAACAAACTGATCATCCAGACTGGATGGATGACTATTCCAAATTCATGCTTGAACTCCAGACCAATTTTGGACCTCACAACCCTTCTGGAGATGTGGAAATGCAGCTTGAGCAACTCAATATGCATGATGGACAGCACATCAACAAGTACATTGTAGAATTCCAACAACTTGCCTCACAGGTCTGCGGGTGGGGTGATGGAGCCCTATGCTGACAATTCTATAACAGACTTCCTGCTCGTATCAAGGATGAAATCAGTCGCATGGGAAAACCTGGCACACTCTCAGAATACAAAGCCCTTGCACAGACCATTGATGCCCACTATTGGGAATGCAAGGGAGAAATCTCCCATGAAACCAAGTCCTCCACACCCAACCCTCCTGCCAAGTCTTCCAAACAGGCCAATGCCAACATGCCCAGATCTGGAAGCACCTCCTCCAGAAACAACAAATTTGGAAAGATGACTTCATCCACTACCTCTGCTTCTAAAGCTCTGGACCTCAGCAACAAGTTGGGTAAGGATGGAAAGCTTACATCCGAAGAGCATCAGAGAAGGCTGGACAGGAAGCTCTGTCTGTTCTGTGGTGGACCTGGGCATACTGCTCAGGACTGCACAAAGTCAACTTCACACGCTACCAAAGGTTGTGCAGCTACAGTTGATCTGGAAACCAAACTGGATGCCTCAGATGAGGCGAAAAAATAATCCGCAACCCTCCTGACTCTGCACGGGATGAGGGTCGTGTTGACTCAACCTGTGCAATGGAGCTATGACTCAATGCTATATCTTTCTCCAATCTGAACTCTCTCTGTCCATATGTTTCCGTTCCTATGTATTCTGATATTTCCGACTTTCCAGCTCTTGTAGATTGTGGTTCCTCCCATTGCTTCATAGAATCCGACTTTGTCCGTAAATATAATCTGCCTACCTATGCAATTCCTCTGATTCCGCTCCATTTGTTTGATGGTACTTGTAATGCAACCATTTCCAAAGCTATAGATCTGCCCATCTGTTTCTCGTCCAGTGTAGTCACCTCCCATATGTTCTACGTAACTCCTTTGGATTCATCCTGTCTTATTGTCCTTGGATATAGCTGGCTTACCTGACACAATCCATTGATTGACTGGGTTTTGCACAGCATCGAGTTCCAGACTTCATCTCATGGAATGCCATTGACCCCTCCAATATCGCCTCTGCCACCTCCAGTGGAAACTACCCCTCCGACTACTCCAGACACCTCTGCTGATACCTCCGAGCCTAACATTTCTCTAATCAATGCAGTTGCCTTTTGCCAGGCCTGCAAGTTAGAAGGCTCCAAGCAGTTCAGCATCTTCCTATGTCCTTCCAGTGCCAAGATCCATTCTGTATCCACTTCGTCCAATGCTCTGGATCTATCTGCGATCCCTCCAGAGTATCATGAATATGTGGATGTCTTTGACAAGGGAAAAGCTAGCCAACTTCCTCCTCATAGGCCTTATGACCTAAAGATTGACCTAGAGGAAGGTACTGCTCCACCCCTAGGCACCATATATTCCCTTTCTCCAGTTGAGCTTGAAGCTCTCTGGAAGTTCCTGGATGAAAATATCTCGTCTGGACTCCTCTGTTCCTCCTCCTCTCCACATGGAGCCCCTGTCCTGTTTGTCAAGAAGAAGGATGGCTCCCTGCGTCTTTGTGTGGATTTCCATCAGAACTCAACTATGATACCCACGACAAGGAACTCCTAGCCATATATGAAGCTTTCTGGACCTGGCAACACTACCTAGAAGGCTCATCCAAGCCTATTGATGTTGTCATGGACCACAAGAACCTTGGGTACTTTGCAACCACCAGGATTGCATTCCTTCACCATCCAACTCCTGGATTCCATGCATTCAGTACATCCAGTCTTCCATGTCTCCCAACTGGAACCTGCAGTTCTGAACACCATCCCTAATTGTATCCAACCACCCCCACCTCCAATAGAAGTCAACAGAGAACCAGAATATGAGATATCTGAAATCCTAGACTCTAAGTTGGACTGCCAGAGACAACAATGTCAGCTTCTCTACCTCATCCAGTGGTCCAGATACAAAGGGACGGATGAAGAGACATCCTGGTTACTAGCCACAGACCTTGGAAATGCATCAGACCTAGTTTCAGTATTTCACTCTTCATACCAATGCTTTCTGTACTGGAAGGTCCTGTTATTGGGAACACAAGGAAGAGATCTCCTGTGAAACAAAACCCTCCTCATCTACTCCTCCTAAGCAGTCAACCTCTGACTGGACCAGCTCCCACTCGTCTGGATTCAGAAGTAACAAATCCAGAAATCAGAATTCTGGACATAAACCCAGAAAACCTACTATGTCCTCCACCTCATCCGCTCCAAAGGCCCTGGACCTTACCTCCAAGTTGGGTAAGGATGGAAAACTCACTTCTGAGGAGTGCCAGAGGTGTTTGGATAAGAAGCTCTGCTTATTCTGTGGTGGACCCAGACACTCCGTATGGGATGGGGGTCACATTATCTCAACCCATACAAAGGAGTTACGTCTTAATGCTGTCTCTGTTTCTGATCTGACTTCACTCTGTCCATATATCACGATTCTGACATATCCCAGTATTTCCGAATTTCCATCTCTTGTAGATTGTGGTTCCTCTCATTGTTTTACAGATACAAATTTTATCCGAAAATATAAAATCCCTACATATAGAATCCCTCCGCTTCTGCTTTGTTTATTTGATGGTACTTGTAATAACAATATTTCTGAAGCCATAGACCTCCCTGTCTGATTTTCATCTGGTGTAGTGACCTCTGATATGTTTTACATTACCCCTTTGG